AGTGATTGTTGGACCTTAAAATGTCCCTCAGACATTTTCGGAGGTTCCAGGCCTTGGTCAGAAGCATTTGAGACCCTGGCAAGCAGCTGGAAACAGCTGTGATTTTGAGTTTGAGCCATGGAATGAGTTACCAACTTTGAAAGTGGAACAAGCAGTCACAAAAGTTTAGATATTATAGTAGAAGTAGTTACAAAGTAGAGGGGAAAATCTTTTAGTATTGTACAGGGGCGTTTTAGCACCTGTACAGGCGGGTTTTACTTTGTACATGGAGGTCAGAAGTTTTAAGATGGAGGAATGTAGGCCAGTCCTGTTCCTCCTTTTTCTTCTTCCTTACCTCCAAGTTCTTGATGATGCTGGAACTTATGGATTGGTTTAGAGTAGAAAAGCACCTTTTAATATAGGTAGTAGGTATTGGGGAAAAACTGTAAACATATAACACGTAATATATCATATAAAAGATAGCAGCAGCCCTGGGTGGGGGTAGAGAAGAAGAAGACACCAGACAGTGAGGGTGTTAGGAGTGTGTGTGTCCCTGCCTGGGCTGCTGACCAAACAGCCACAGCCTGCAAACACAATCTTTTAGATAACGAGCAATAAACTGCCTTGAGACTGAACAACAAGAGGCTGTGGGGTTTTTCTTTGGAAGCACGGGTTGGAGGAGAGACTCTACCACCACACGGGACCCCTGAACCAGGCCGGGGTTCTGAACAGGGGTCTAGTAGGTGTCATCCCTGCCCATGGCAGGAGGATAGAAACTTAATGATCCTTAAGACCCCTTTCAACCCAAACCATTTACAGTTCTATAAGTCACTGAGAGGATTAAAGACAGCTTTTTGCACTGTGTATTCCCGGTGGTGCTACCCAGGATGGCAGGCAATCTACAGAGCCCTGTGCCCCTTAGCAATCCCCCTATATTTGGAGGACATAAGTACCGTATGTATTCAGTATCCAAAGGGCAGGCACAAACTCTAAGATTAGTTTTTTTCTGGCTGCCACCTCCAGGTTCCTATCTCTCCAGAACTGATACCTACTCTGCTGTGATCAACGCATGTTGCTCTGCTGAAGTGCAGACGTGGAGGATTCCTTAGGTACTTTGTCCCCCAGCAGAGGGGAGTGCACCTGAATTTAACCTTATATCCATGCAGTTAAACAGTTACAGAAATATTTTTTTATGTAGCTGGGTGTTTAAAGGAAAACTGGGCCCTCCTTCTCTCTCCATTCACTGTGCTGTGCAGGCACAGGCAGTGACACCAGAAAATCCCTGAAGCAGCTTTGACCATTAAAACATTTTTTCCATTAATAAACAGCCTCAGAAAATTCTTTGCAGATGGTGATCAGTTTGGGTGAGAAATTAAAACCAGAAGTTAAAACACCCCCAAAAGTTCTAGCAGATTCTCATTCTCACGCTCTCTCAGCAAGATGATCTCTAACACACATCTTCCTGCAGAATCCAAGCACCAAGCTTGTATTTTAAGACAGACCTACAAAACATTTCCAGATAAGCAAAAAGTGCTCAAAGCCCAAGAAAAAGTCAGTGGTAGCAAGTCTGAGACAGCTACTGGTGTTTTCTGATCTGCAACAATGACACTGCGAGTCTCATCCTAAGGAAAAGACCTCTTTAATGATCTTCTCAGTAGCAGCCTCCACAGCTGGATCTCTCCTTCTGTACTGGCCATGGATATTTGTCATGGTTATGGGCTTCTGGGGGCAGATTAGTAGGGTGCACTAATAACATGAGGAGAGCAGCAGACAATGCTGCCACATAGTACAACAGGAGACTCTTCTCTTAAATTTAAGATCCATATCAGATCAAACTAAATTTAAAAGCTCTCATCTCCAATTAAAGCTCACAGGCTGCATCTCCCAGGCAATGACAGATCCAAGCCTTAGGTCTGCCTTTCCTCAGCCCCCTTTCCGTAAGTCATTCTGATCTGGAAGGTCTTCTGGGTAAGCTGCAACACAGACAAGACTGCTCCTCTCCCTACCTTGCCTCATCTTTCCTCTCCTCTCCTATCTCCTCCCTTCTGTGCAAAATCCAAACAAAACTGAAAAGCAAGGTCACCTGCTTGGGATGTCTTATGTCACCTCCTCTCTAGCTTTGAGATGTGCCATTTTCACACTCACAAGGAGGCCCACAAGGCCCACAAGCCCCCTTGGTAGTCCCTGGAACATGGAAGCAACAGCAGCTTGGGCACTGTGATTCTCCTTGTGATATCCACACTTGCTGCTCAGCAGCATGAGGTAAAATTTGAGCATATCTACAATTTTGTCTTTCTATATAAGCTCCAACTTTAGCACAGATTAAAAGCTGTGAGAACCAATTCCCCCAGAAACTTGAGCATAGGGTCCAGACTGGCACTGCCCAGCCAAACTGACACTTGTGCTTCCAGAAGCCAGGACAAGGCTCTCAGCCTCAATCATTATTACCTCAGACCCCCTCAGGTGGAGAAGCACCACAAAATTTACCTTTGAGTGGATATTCCTGGAAGTTTCTCCTTCAGGACAGGGCAGGTGTAACTGCTGCCTCACCCCAGGCTTTCAGCTGCAGGGTGTGCAGCACTTACCATCACCAAAGTGCAGGATTAAATGCTCTCTAATTTGCAGCTCTGGTCCTGCCTGCACAGCCACTCCCCGCTCACTGGAATCGAACATCTCTCCATAGAGACGCCTCTCACTGGAGATGGGAGATGAAATCCATTAGCTCTGAACAGCATCCCAGCCACTGGTGGCTGCAGGCAGACAGGAGGCCAGCAGATAGACCCGAGGGGAGGCATGGAGAAAGGCAGCTTCCAGCTCCTAAGCACAGCACTGGCTGAGGGCTGCTTCCCTGCACAGACCTGTGCCCCCACCCATCACTAGCTTGCAGAGCAGGGTCTGATGATGTCTTCTCTTGTGCAGGCAGAAGACCCGGAGCAAGCAAGACACCGTGGGGTGAAGAAGGCTAAGTCTGGGAGAGAGTGAGTGTCCTTCAAAGTCCAGCCCTGGCTGCTGCAGGAGAGGAGACATTTTGCTCAGAGTTCTCTTCTCCGCAGAGGCACTTTAGCCCCTTAGGGAGCTCAGCTGCTCCCAAGAGCGATGCAAGTCCTTGGGTTGTGTAATGTCAATGGCAGCATGCAGTTTCAGAGGGGTGACACCTCCTCTACGGTGCATGGGAAGATAACAAATTGCACAGCCAATAACAACTCATTTATTGCCCCACAAACATGAGCTCTTGCTGCAGGGCCAAGCAGCCTTGCTTCATCTTGGCAAAGGTGTCGCATTTAAAGAGCCCTCTGCTCCCTAGTGACACTCGTGTTATCATCTTCACCTCTGTGTGTACAATAACAAACCTCCTAGAAATAGCAAACAGCTACGAAAATCGTCTCTGCTCCAAACTGGAAACAGCTGTGCTTTGCCCAGCACTAGTACTGGGCCCACCACTGTATGACCCACAGAGCTGGATGTTTCTCCCCTATGTAATTCGGGCAAGGAGAAAAAGCAGCCTCGAGTGGGGCCCGGGGGCTTGCTGTGTTCCCACCCTCTCCATCCCCAAAGCAGCAGCACAGTGCCAGAACACGCTGCTGCTGTTGGCAGATTGCTGCGCTCCCCAGAGCAAAGGGAGAAAGCAAGGGAGGAAGGCAGCCAGCAAAGCCTCACCCTTACATAAGGCTGAGAGTCCCATGGATATGCTTCCCAGAACATACTGGTGGGGCTGAAGCTGCCCAGCCCTTTGAGTTTTCTTTCTGAAAACTCAAACATGCACTGCAGGCACTAAGATGCCATCACCTGGAGCCCAATCTGTACGCTCTGCTCACAGCTAGTTTGTGACAGGCAGAACAAACAGGCAAAGTGCTCTCCCTTCAGTGACTGCTTGCTGCCAAACCTTTCACAAAAGCTGCTTTTTTTTTCCCCCCTCCTCCCTTATAGCTTTAACTCCCTGCTTTAACTAAAGCTGTGAAATCCAAAAAGGGGAAAATAAACAAACAGCTGGTTTGGAAAGCAAGAGCAAAAAGGGATTTATTCCAGGCAGTGGATATTGCATCATAGGAGCTAAAGGAATATTTTTAGTGCCTCTTAGACAATATCAGAGTTTTAGGGCCTGAGGAGATAGGCAGTATTTGCAGGCACTTATTGTTTCCTTTACATTTGGCATCCACTTAGACCATTTTCCTTGGAGATTTGCAAGCACTTTGCAAGCATACATTAATTAACCCACTGGCCCTCCTCTGCAATGAGATTTCCCTTTCCCTGTAATGTGCCTGTGCTAGGGACAGGGTAAACTGAGGCATGGCAAGGCCATCAGCCTGCGGCAGAGCTGAGGCCAGGGGGCTGCATGTCATCCAGCTCTTCTTTCCATTGCAAAACCACCCTTCCCTTTGTGAGCATGACCCACACTGACTGTGTTTCCCTCCATTGGATGCTGCCTGCCCCATTCCAGAGGAAGGCATGGGCAGGTCAGCTCATAGAGCCTCTGCGCTGGCCCTTGGTGCCACAGAGCAGGGAAACAGAGAGCCAGTATGTCTGAAAAGCAGAGCAGGCAGGAGTAGAATAGCAAACAGATTAGCAGCTGCATGTGCCTGCATGTGCAACAAGGCAACTGTATGGGGAAAGGGGGAAATCAGTCACATGAATGGAAACATAGAAAATGCTGAACCTCTGTCAAGTGCCAGCAGGTTTTTAATCTATTAGCTAATGGGGGCAAAAAAACCTGCTACAGGCTCCTGAGAATCAAACTATAACAAGACTGCAGTGATCACGGATGCTTTGATAGCCAACAAAGCATCTCAGCCTGTTGCTGAGGTCAGCAAATGGCTCAGGGACCGATCATTTTAGTTTTGCTATTCCTTTGCTGGTCCTGGCTGACCCTGGAACAGGATCCTGGCTGAAGAGCTGCTGGCAGACCCTTTTTGGGGTAGGAGATCTCCAGTTATTGCTTGCAGGACTCCTGATGGTGATCTCTGGGCTCTTGGTGCCCTGCCCTGTATTTTGGGATGAGGTGGTAGGACAGAGGTCATGCTCACCTGATGGCCTGAGCCTTGCTGGGATGAGGTGGGGAAGGAGTGGGCTGTGATACCCTCCTGAATTCTGCTTGTGGCACAGAGATCCAGCTGGCACATCACCGCTTACAGGGAGCCATGCAGACCTCCAGCATCCTGTTGGCCCTCTGCTTCCTTGCACGACTTGACCTGCAGGGATAAAGTCAGGCAGCTGCCTGTGACTTCTTCACTAGTGGGCTGAGGGTAGCAGGACCTGGCTGCTAGCAGCAGAGCAGCCCTGGGTGAAACCCTGCAAGGAAAGGCAAGGAAGACAGAGGCCCTTGCTGCCAACCAATACCTCCCCATGCTAAGCATTACCCTTTGCTGGTAGCACTGGGATGCAATATGGTGACACAACTACCCTCAAAGCACTCACAGCCCTGGTGAGCAAATGGTCTGCAGACATGACAAGGAAGGGCCTCCACACGCCTCCAGTCCAGTGGCAGGGCCATGGGTGTTTTCCAGCTGGGCAAACAGAAACAAATCCCATTGTCTGCTGATTGGTCACAGCTCAGAAGGGGCCCGTGGTGCCCACAGGGCTCCTGGGACCTGGCATGGACATTGGGGTCCAGTCAAGCTCCAACCCCATCTCAGGCTGCTGGAGGTGGGGGCAGCCTGCCCCAGTGGAACAGCAGCATCTCTGGGACACAGGACATCTCCCTGCTGCCAGGCTGGAGGACACAAGACCCTCTGCCCAAGCCACTTCTGAGGGTCTCTCATTCTCACCATCTCCTGGGCACAATCCTTCCATGAGCAATCCCTCCCTCTTCCATTCCCATCCCCATCCCTCTGCCTCCCTCCCTGCACTGCTGCTGCCCTCTCCTGAGCTCCAGCTGCCCATTTGCTTTCTTCTACAGGCATTAAGGGAGTAAATACTGGCTAATGGTACCAATTAGCAGCTGAGCTGCTGGGCGCTAGTTACTGAGTGACACCCTTGGCCAAGGGCCAAGGATGAAATGTTACCTCACTGCAGGCAGTCTCCACTGCCAGGGCCCAAGCTGAGACTTGGATAAACTCAAGACACACAGTTCAGGCTCCCACTTGTACCAGAGGAGACAGGGTTAACCCCTGGGTCAGCAGCAGGCAGGAGCACCCTGTGGCATCCAGGGCACAGACCAGTCCAAGCACCCTGTCGTGGTGTCACTCCAGGTCTCCTTGGCTGAGGATGGAGCTGGTGCTGGCAGAGGGAGCCACTCTATGGCCAAGGTCATCTGGCCCATTGAAGCAGTGCCGGGGGCATATCCTCCTCCTTAACTGGCAGCACCAGTCTCCCACGATGGAGCACAGTCATTAAGAAGTTGGCTGGCACTCAGCCACACTTGTAAAACACCGCAGGGGAGCTGTGGGCTGCTGGGAACCAGGGAACCTGGTGAGAGGAAGAGGGGTGGCAGCTGCTGTACGGTCCCGTTCCCTCCTTGACAAAGTCCATCCACAGCCCAGTGGAGCAAGGTACCCAGTGACTCCCGGAGTCTCCAAGAACCATCTACAAGGCAGAAGGTGGCTTTCTGTAGGATGGGTGAATGCCAGCTCTGGAGGATAGCCCGAAGCAATGGCTCCCCATCAGCCTTCCCGGGGCACCGGGGTGGCAGCAGACAGAGCCATGCTCCAGCTCTCTGGGAATGCTGCTGCAGCCAGAGTCTGCCCACCCTACATGGCAGGGCAGACCCCAGGGCCCTACCTGTTCTCCCAGCCAGCCTGCTCCCTGGACAGTCTCTGGCACCATGGGGACCATGGCACATCGCCACTTGCAGAGACGAGGGCTCTAAACACAGGTCCACGAACTCTCACACCCGTGCCAGCCCTGGTCTGTGCCTGGCCCAACATTTGCTGGCTGACGTGGAGGAATTCCACTCTGTGCAAATGTCTGGCAAGGCTGACTAAATCCTGTCTGGAGACTAAGTCCATCCAGTCATGCTTTCCCCCACAGCGGAGCTGTGGCTGAATGCTCCTAAACATCCCCCAGGGAGGTCTCCAGGACGGCCTTTTCCCACAGCTTCCAACAGTACCAGCCGTTCATCATTTCTTCTCCTTGCCAGTCATGCTTCCGCAGGTTCCCAAGCTGAAACGAGGGCCCCCAGGCCACCCAGTGGAGCACAAACGTGGGACATCAAAAGAAGGGCAGGCCAAACCCATGACCAGCAGCACGGCTGCCAGGGTACCACTGGGGCTGCCCTCCCCCCCCTTCCTCAGTCCCTCTGCAAAGCTGAGTGTCCACCGGTGGGCAGAGGATGCGCTAACACGGACCAGGGAGGGCGGAACCCTCGGGGGTCCCGCACCCCTCACACGAGGGGCTGGGGTACGCAGCTGGGAGCCCGCAGTGCCCCACGGCCATGCTGCCGGGCCGGGGGAGCGCGGCAGAGTTTGCCTGCCCCCGGGGCTCCGGGGGACGCCCGGCTCGGCGCTGAGCTCCGCACTCAGCGGCGGGCACGGCCGGCGCTGCCCCCTGGCGGGCCCGAGCACGGGCGGCGCACGGGGGGAATCCGCCGGGCACGGGCGGGAGCGGCTCCGCCGAGTGCGGGAGCGGCTCCGCCGAGTGCGGGAGCCAGGCTGGGCAGCAGCGTGCGGGGTGCGCGGCGGCGGCGAGCTGCTGGCTGGTGGGAGAGGGTCTGGCATTCCAGGGTGGGGAGGCATCCCAAGCCACCCCTCGGGCAGGGAGCCGAGGGAAGCGTAGGCACGGCCCCGAGCGCTGCGGTCACCGTGAGGATGAGGAGGCGGTGAGCGGCAGCAGGGAGATGGGGGGACAAACGGCACTGGGAGCCAAGTGCACAAAGTGGGACAGGGCACCCCGAAGTGTGGGCTTATTGTGTGTGCTGGGCTAACCTGTAGGGGCACTGGGATGAGTGGGAGCTGGGAAATCTGGGAGTAAGCATGGAAGTCCGAGGGCAGAAGCAGGAGCTTTTTGTTTGAAGGTGGTTTAAAGAAACAGAGTTTGCCTATAGATAACAAACTGGGCAGAAGGACAGGGATGGTGTTAGGAAGCAGATTTCAGGGTCAGGACGGATCACATGAGGACGTAAGACTGTGACAGTCACCCTGAACACGGTAGCTGTCCTGCAGGGCTGTGCTTCCTTCTCAGCTGCAGGCCACAGAGGAAGGAGTCCTGGCTGGTCCCCTGAGAACCCCAAGTTCCACAGGGATGGGATGGGAAAAGGCTTGAAGTGCACCTCCTCGGCATAGGTTACTTCTCAAAAGGCAGCTTGCCTGCTTCTCTCCTTGGTCCTGGGCTGTGAGGCATCCAGGAGCACCCTTGTGCCAGAGACCCAGTGCCTCAGGGACAAGAGGGGATCCTGGCACTACCCTCCCAGGGACTTGGGGCCTCAGGCTTTATTCTATACATCCATACTCAGCTGACAGGGACTCAGTCTCCAGGGAAACAGCCTGCTCTTCTAACACTGCTGCCCAGACCAAGTAAATCTCTTTTCTGGCAAGTCAGATGACAAAATTCAGCCTGGATAACAGTGGTGGCTGGCTTCCCACAAAGATCCCTCTTCTGAGGAGGAGCTGCAGACATCACCAACTCACTGTCTTTCTCCACTCTCCACACAGGATCTGCCATCTCCAGAGGATGCAAGCAAGTGGGAAAGTCTCACCTGACTTTTGCTAGGGCTGTGTCCTGGGATGATAGAGTTGGGAAGCTTCACAGCAGAGCTGAGCTGCTATGCAGTGCCCAGCAGTGCTGCTGCTGGCTCTGCTTTGCACATTCAGTCATGGAGGTACTGGGTTCCCTGCGAAAAAGCAGGCTTTCTCAAGAAGGAAAAGAACTTCACAAACCCCTAACTTTCTGGAGAGCCCTGGAGGGTCTTGTTGCTGGCAGTAGCTCAGGGCAGGGCTGCCTGCTCTGATGGAGGACAGGCTTCTCTGCCACTGCTGCATGGTCTCTCCCATCCTGCTGGTCCCAGTGACATCCAGCTTGCCTTCAGGGATGCTCTGGGCATTCCTGGCAGGGAACAGCAGGACTTCTTTTATGTCTGTGCATAAAACAGGGCAGCACAGCTGGTGCTCCTCCACCACATCCTCCAGTACCTTCCCTGCAGAAGCCTGAGGACCATTAACAAATTTCACTATCTCTTACCACCCAGCTATGCCAGCTTCCCTCACTTCCTACATTTTCCAATCCATTTCAGCCTCTAAAGCACCTGCTCGCTCCCTTCCCAGGACAGCACCAGGCACTGAAGAGATAAGGACAAAAAGCAGCAGTGGGGACCCTGTTTTCTAACGTCCTGCACTAAGACCTTTACTGGGGCAGCAGAGCAGTGCCCTGACCTCGAGAGGCACCACTGATTTGGATGGATTTGAGTTAAGGGCCATGCTACAAACGCTGCTCTGTCTGCAGCTTCACCTCTCTTCTGCCTGCACATGAGGTCAGGCTCCTGCAAACAAGCCTTGGGCCATGCCTTGGACTCAGAATGCAGCCAGGACCTCTGTTCTGGGCCAAATCACAACGAGGGCAGCCAGGGAATGGTGCCTGGGGAGAAAGGACCTGCATGGGGAATGGTGCAAGGGGGGAGGGCAATCTCCCAGCGGTCAGCCTACAAATAGAAAGGGTCATGGGAGAGTGCCCAGCTACTGGGACAAAGGGCCTGCAAGAGGTGAATGGGGTTGTAGTTGTTCTGGCGGGAACCGTGGCACAGGCCCAGGAACCCCAAGAACGGGGAGGGCTCCCTGGAGGTATTCCCTGTGGTGCAGGCACCCCCGAGGCCATACAGGCATACAGGAACATGCCACTGGCGGGGCAGGGAGGGAGCCCGCACTCAGAGAAGGCTGGGACTGACACAGGAAGGTGACGAGGACAGTAAGTGGTGGCCGCGCCAGGGGTCGGGTGACATCCCCACGGGCAGGGTAACCAAACGCCGTCCCCAGCTGGCTGTTTCGAGGGGTGGCGAAAGGGGAAGCGTTTCTTGCCCCGTGGTACTCTGTTCCCGGGACAGGCTCCCTGGCCCCGCGGCGGTCCTGTAGAGGAAGGGGAAGGGGAAGGGAAGGCAGCAGCGCCCAGCCGCGGCAGGAGCGGGGCCGAGCGCGCAGGGTGGGAGCCCCGGTCGGACAGCCGGCGGCCCCGGAGCCCCGGTCGGACAGCCGGCGGCCCCGGAGCCCCGGCCGCTCCGCACGGCCGCGGAACTGCTGCCGGGGCTTCCCCGAGCGCCGCCGCCGCCGCTGCCGGGGGCCCCGCTCCGCCCCAGCGCCCACCCACACCCGAGGCAGCCGGGGCACCGCCGCGTTGCTTACACGTTTCCCCGGGGGCTGCCGGCTCCTTCCCGCGGCGCCGCCGCCCGCAGGATACGGTCCCGTCCCGCAGCGCGCGGTGCCAGCGCTGCCGGCCGCGGCAGGCCGGGTCCTAGCGCTTCCCGCCGCGCCAAGGGCACCGCGCCACCGAGCTGGGACAGCCCTCGGTGCCGCGGCCGCCGTAAGCAGCCCGCTGCCCCCACCCCTCGCACCCCGCTTTTACCCCGCGACTCCCCAGCTCCATCGGCCGCACCTGAGAGCGGGAGGGTGCTGGGGTCGCCCCGCTACCGCAGCTCCGGCACAGGAATGTCCAATGCTCTGGCTTTTCCCCACTGTCTCCTCTCTTCCTGGAACAGACGGCTGACCCTACTGCCCCGGGAGAGGGGCATAGCCGTGCTGTCCTTTTGCCTAGGCAAGGAGGGCAGGGTGCCGGCAGGCAGCCCCTCCACTGCTGCTCCCCGCTTTCACATTCCCCTGGGCCGGGGTCAGGCTCCGAGACCTGCATGGGGTCCCTCAGTGTGCGATAGCCCCAGAGCTCAGCATAGGCTCCCGGCTGCAGGGTGACCTTGAGCAGGACTGCCGAGCCGCCAAAATAGGTGACAAGACCTTGGCTCAGTGGAGGAGGCTGGAACCAGACCCTCTCTTTAGTACCTGGCAGAACAAAGCACAGCAGCGACAGTGCTTACTCTGGTCACCTCCCTGCCTGCAGCCTGCCCTTACCTTGATAGCTCAGCTCTCCTGGTGCTGGATAATGCTGCCTGCAGACTCCTCACTGCCCGGTCCCAAGAGGACTGGAATTTCCCACGGCAGCAGGACCAGGGTGCAAAGGCTCTGCCACACTACAGGCTCTGCAGCCAGAGTGGGTTTTAGAGCCCCGGCACTGGCTGGGGCTGGCTGAGCACGGCTTCCGCTGGCTCAGCAGGTGGAGGCTGCGTGCACGGGCAGATTAGTGGCGGGGCAGGGGGGAGGAATTGGCTTCTGCCATAGGAACTACAGACGGGATTCGTCAGCGGGTTGCCGTGGGGCCAAGTGCCAGCACAGGGGAGGAGGGGAGGCTCTGGGTGGGCAACTGCCTCGGGGGGACAATGAAGCCTGTACAACGGGGGTACCGAAAATGGTGCTGCAGGTGCCAGCATCGTCCCTGGGATGGTGTTATCTCTCGAGTGGCACGTGTCACCCCGTGCTCCTGTGCTGGACTTGGGCCATGATGGGACCCTTGTTGAGCTCCTGCCCCATCATGGGTCAGCATCGAGCCCTGGGGCTAGCAGGGGGGCCCTCAGTAAAGCACCCTGCACCCACTGCCCCTCTGCTGGGCCCCGCAGCTGCTCAGGAATGAATTGGCAGCAGCCCACCAGCTGCTCTCCTGGTATGTGCAGCCGGAGCCGGAATGCTGTACCTTGACCTCCTCACTGGTCTGGACAAGCCTGGCCCCTGCCCAGGGCATCTCTCCTCCCAGCCTTACCATCCTGCTTGTCTTTTCCCATTAAGGAAGTGCAGGCAGCTGAGCTTTGGTGCTGGAGGAAAACAGGTATCGGAGCCAAGTGGAGGGTGGTAAGACACAGGGGAAGCTCAGAAAGCACACCCCCGCCCACACTGGGGCATTCCCCACCCCTTGCTGGGAATGTGGAGAAAGTCCATCTGCTGGTGACCCTGGTGTCCCCACCTCCACCTCACTGCCTGTCTCCAGCCCCAGGAATACTGCAGGAGGGAGATGGGGTGGCAGGAGAATTTCTGTTCTCCCAGCCCTTACTGCAGAGCTGGGCTGCAGCCAACACTTCTATTTTAAGCCCCACAATGTGTTTGAGGAGGCGAGTGGTGAGCACAGTTGAGCCTCACGGCCTGACAGGGAGAGGCCCTGCTACCTAAGTCCCTGGAAACTTCCCCTTTTTCCTCTAGGGCTAGCACAGACTCTGGACAGGTTGGATCAGCTGCTTTTTCCCCTTCCCAGTACAAGTGGCAATTGGGGCAGTTGAAACTGGCATGGTCTGGTGAAGTTACTGCAAAAATATCTGGGCTGTAGGAATGGGGGGGTCTATCCACACACCGCTACCCCCATCTGTGTCAGGCAACAGTCACCTGCTGTGACCTAGGCTGGCAGCCATCCTGTGAGAGAATGAGGCTGGGGAGGCTTGGCAGGGCTGTACAGGCAGGAGTATTTACTCTGTAGGTAGTGACTTCCTTGCTAAGCTCCCAGGGCAGGGAAAAGGGACCCAGATAGCCTGTGGGATTAGCTGGGCTGAGTGCAGGCAGAGGGGAAGCATGGGACAAAGCATCCTTGTGAAGCATCCTTGAAAGGCACCAAAGAGCTTGAGCTTCCCCCCGCAAGCAGGACTGAACCTCACTGCAGGGCCCTCCTCATCTGAAGCTCCCCTTACTCCTTAGCAAGGACCACCTTGCAGAGAGCTCCTTTCCTTCTGTGCTGATGGATACTGCTGGACAAAAAAGCTCCCACAGTAAGTGTCTATTTATCTTTTAATAAAAACCATCATCCATGCCCTCTGCTTGTGCTGTGTGTCATTAGGATGCCTGGGGAGCCAGCAGCACCCAGGGAGAGCACTGGGCAGGAGGGGTGCTCAGCACCAGGCTGAGGCTGGGGGCTGCAGTGCCTGGGGCACAGGGCAGACCTGGGGCTGGCTGATACAGAGCCACTTGATACAGCCTCTTGCCCCTGGGGAGGCAGTAAGCCATGAACTGGTGCTGGGAGTAGAGATCAAGCCAGAATGGCCCAAGAGGCAGATTGGGGCATTTTCTCCATTTGTCTGGGGCTCACTCTTTTTTCCCAAAGAACTTCTTGAAGACAGATTTGTTCTTGGTGCGAGGGGGGCTAGTGGTCTTCTCCCCTCGTGTGTCCCGGGGGCTCCCTGTTTGGGCCACGAAGGAGTGACAGCGTGCCCGGGGCATGGCCGACACCTGCTCCCCTATGTACAATGTGACGGAGTAACTGCTCCCGGCCTCCACCGGCTCCTTGGGCACCGCCAGCGGGGTGATCTTCTGGTAGGTGGCTGCAAGAAGGAGCAGTCAGTGGAAGGGGCAGGGTGCCAGCAGGCCCTGGCAGCCCTCTAGAGCCCTCCCGAAATGGGGGCTACACACAAGAGCACAGGTATGTGGAACCAGGTGCATGCTGGAGCAGCATCGCATCTGTCCTTGGCTGTCTGGGCACACAACAGTGGTGCCACCTCCTGGCGGTGACAGCAAAATCAGGACTGTACCTGAGGTGAAGGAGTAGGACCTCCTTTTGTTGGCCACCAGCCCATAGTCATCCTCTAGGCAGATGTTGTCCCACAGCCCGGGGGATGCCCTGGATGACCACTGCTGCTCCTTGTGCCCAGTCCCCTGAGTATTCTCTAAAGCAGAATGGAGACATGTCACAAGGCAAGGCCATCACAGGGCACCCCTGTGTCAGCCCCAAAGAGGGAAATGTATGACTATCTCAGGGTCCCAGGAAGTGAAGAAAATGTTCCTTTCCCCACGTCCCAAGCCCTGGGACTCCTAGCCCAGATACCACCAAGTTCAAGACTGACCGACAGCCTTCAGCCTCCCTCAGCTGTCTCCCATGCACCTCTCTGTGCTGAGGAGAGAAGCTGGGGGACAGTGGCAACCCAGCCAGACAGGAAAGTCACCTGCTGCTGTCACAGTCCCATCGACTGGGCCATCCTGGCTGCCCAGAGGCTGCTGCAATAGTGGGCTTGCGCAGGGTAACACCACAATCTCCTGGCTCTTGGTGGTCGTGACCTGATGATGTCCCTGGAGGTGGGAGGTCCCAGGGCTGGAGACCTTGCTGAAACTGAAAGCAGCAGAGATTTAGCAAACCAGACTGGCCCCTCAATGTCCTGCTGGAGCAGCAAGCTCTGGGAAATGTGGGATAGAGTTATAACAAGACCCAGCTGGTCAGCTCCTGGCTACTCACCTGCCAGTACCACCAGTGCTCTTGACATGCTGTGCTGCTGCCTGGAAGTAATCCACTTTGGGGAAACCTGGGGCACAGCAAACATCCTGCTGGATGCTGGCAGTACACAGGACTGTCACACAGAGCCAGTCCCTGATCCTACTGCCCATACTGCACAGCTGGCTCCTTCAACCTCCTGCTGTAGTACCTGCTCTTGGTCCTGACAACCAGCCTAGGATTTCATAGCAGGGCTTGAACTCCCCAGGTATGGGTACAGCAACAGGAAGACCTCAGTACTACAGGTCTCCTTGCCTCAAGGGCAAGCAAGGCATTTCCAAGCCCAGCGGATATGGAGGAAGACCAAGGCACAATTATAATTTTCCTGACATGGGGTTTTTGCTGCTGAGGCACCACTGACGTCAGTTGTGCTATTTCTGATTTATAGCTGTGTATGTGGTGTGAAAACAAAGCCTCCAAATCCTGCCTGGCAAAGAACTGCTGTTCCCAAGGCAAGCTAGGAGGATGCATAAATCAGAGTAAAATGTTGTGCTGCTTCTCTTCTGACCTCCCATGTATCAAAGGGCTCAGTGGGGGCTGAACAAATATGGTAACTACATAGAGCTGGGCCCCTGCTCTGCCTGCAAGTGCTGCTCACCTGAGTTTTGCTGCAGCTTTGAGACCCATTCATTCATGAGGGCCTGGGTGGGGGCCCTCAGGAGGTATTCAGAGCCATCCTGCAGCCTGCAGGGAGAGGGGAAGAACAATGTAGGGTGCAGATACAACAGCCCCCACCAGACCAGAAAAGAAGTAGGTGAGAAAGAAGGAAGGAAATCCTCATCTAAGCAGTGTACTGGTCCTGCCTGGGGATGTTGGTATGTGTCTGTCCCAGCAGGGACACACTTGGGAGGACTGTTGTTACTGCCCTGGATGGGGGACTCACTGAAGCCTGAAGCAGTTGGTCTTCTTGGTGTATTCAGCATCTGGGGTGCAGACTGCCCCGGAGAGGTTCAAGGGAAGGGCCACCACGGAGCTCTACAGCACAAGGAAAAGCAAGGGCAACAGCAGGATTGGACAGCCCTACCTTCCCTGGCCATGGGGCCCAGAGCCAGCACCCTGCTGCCAGCCCCCTCCTATGTCACCACAATGTCCCCCACCGCACCTTGAGGCTGTCCCTGCGGTCCTGGTAGAAGCACAGTGTCTGCCTCATCAGCACAGCGTGAAAGAGGCCCCAGGCCCGGCAGCTGGCCTGCGGGACACAAGCAGGACACAGCTGTGATGCCAACAGCTTTGGAAGAAGACAGATGGTCTCATGCCACTCAAAACGCGGCCCAGCCCCTCTGAGGCTCTGCCCTTCCAGAATGGCCAGCAGCATTGCTGTGGCAGTTCCAGGAACATCCCTGGCTTCCCTCTACACCCTGTCATGTCCCAGCACCCCTATCCCAAAGGAGCCCCACAGCCATGTCTGTACCTTTCTCCCTCCTGTCTGCAATACGTGCTTCCTTTCCAGCGTCCCCTCCATCATCTGAAATTCCATTTTAGCAGGCAGGACCTGCAAGGGCACAGAGGGTGAGCAAAAACTTCTCTGGGGCTAGTGGTGCCAGCTCAGCCTCCATGCACATGAGGTCTATATGACCCATCCCTGGTGAACAATGCCAAACTGGGAGTGGGATGACAATGAAGAACAACTTTTTCACCTGGGCAGGAGCTGGGCTGTGTGTCAGCTTTAGGGGTGAAGTGCCACCTTGCTGAGTCTAGGGGTTGGTAGGGGGTATGTATGCTGCAGGGACTGCAAATACCACACCTAGCCCTTCCCCACCAGCTGAAGAAAAGGGGCCACTGGAGTCAAGGAGTCCCCAGATACAGGTTATGTTTGCTGGAGTGGATAACCCAGCTGCTGCCGTGGCTGTTCTCCAGCCCCTTATCTGACCCTGAAGGAGAGTCCCTGGCCCGTGGATCTCACCTTGCTGCTCTTTCTCTCCTCTTGCCGATGCCTCTGCCGATCCCAGGCGCTGGAGGCATCCAAGGGGGCTGCAGACACCAGCTCCTCCGAGTAGGGGGAAATCCTGAGCCCACTGGGACTGCCACTGCGCACCACCCCGGGGCTCTTCTCTCCTGATGGGCTGTGGAGCAGCTGGGCAGCGGTGGGAAGGGTGAATTTGGCTACTAGCACATTGTTGGCTGATGACAGGATGAGGGGCCCGCCAGTAGTGGCACTGGGGCTGGGCAAGCTGCCTGCCCTGCTGCCCGTCTGGTGGCTGGCACAGCTGTCTCCTGGTGAGCTCTGTGCCTGTTGTTCGTGTGCTCCATCCCAGATGGCCTGCAGCTCCTCCTCCTCTTCCTCAAACTGCCTGTGGGCAGGGTGGCAAACTTCCTTAGTTACCTGTGCAGGGCTCTGGGGATGTGGAGACCCCAGTGCCCACTCAAAGACAGAGAGCTGGCTGGGGGCGGCAGGGGAAGCTGGGGACCCTCTGGGCTGGCTGCTGCTGGCCGGCTGCTGTGTACAGGCAGGGCTGGGGATGGCTCCAGCCCTGCCTGGTGTGCTGGCAGGGGACGATCCAAGCTCTAGCCAAGCGGCTCTGAGATGCCTGGCCCTGCCAGTGGCAGTGGGGCTGTCGTCCTGGCCAAAGCGGGTGTCCAGCTCATCCCCCATACCGACATGGGATGGCTGGCTCGGCCTCAAGTCCAGAAGGTCTTTACTGGTGCTGCTGGGGTGCTGCAGGTTCCAGTGCTCCTTCCCAGCACAGTGTGCTCTTTGTTGGCTGTAGCTGGGGTCGAAGCTCACCTCCTTGAACCACGTTTCTTGCTCGCTCTTGGGCGACATCCCCAGCCTCTTGCTGGGCCCCTGGGGATCGTGCCCATCTTCCTGCCATCCAACTCCATGTGTGCCTGTGGGCCTCCAAGGCCTCACCCCTTCATCCTGCCTCTGCTCCTGCCCCTCTGCCTCCTGCTGGCCTGCCGCAGCCCCTCGGTGGCACCCCAGGACCACTGCATCCCGTGGCAGCTCCAGGCTGAGCACAGAGCCCAGGGAAACACGGGGGCATGTGATTTTTGGGTTAGGGAGGCAGGGATTCTGAGGGGCTGCCCCGCACTCGGCATCGATGTCCTGCACCAGCGGGTTCCTGACGTAGAGGAGCAGCTCCCCAAGCTGAGGTCCAGCAGCAGCTGCCCCTGACCCCCCCTTCCTCCAACCACACTTGTGGGGCCAGGTGTTGCTGGGGCCACGGCATTTCTCAGGCGTGGGCCGCAGGGAGCTGTCCCCCATGATGCCCCGGAGAGTCAGCAGCTGGGCCTGCTCCGCCCTGGCCTGCTCCCGCCGCTGCAGGCTGTTGAAGAGACAGCCAGCCCCGGCCTTGGGCAGGGTGTGGGACACAGCCTGCATCCCGCCGCTGGATGCTGGAGGGCGGCGGACAACAGCGGGCAGCCGCTTTGCGCTGCAGGTTTTCCTGGCCTCCACCTGCACCTGAGGAAACAGAGGAGGGAGGCGTGATCCCCATCGCTGGAGCTTCCGCCACCCTGTGCCCACTGCCCTCTTTCCATGCTGCATCTGGGAAAGCAGGGAGCTGCAAGGGCAGGCAGACAAAAACGCTCACCAGCAGCACATGCAGTGCTGGGAATGACACAGCTTCGCCTCAGTTCCCTGAGGGCTGCTCCCACACTGGTGCAGGCAGGGTAGAGGCAGACAAGGAGGGTAGAGGCAGACAAAGGAATCTGCCCATGATGGAGTCCCCCAGGTGTGGTACAGCTGGGGCTGACTGCCATACAGCTTTTCCCTGGCACTGCTGACCTCCAAGCCATCACTTTTGGGTGGCTACTGAGACAGCAGTCACTGCTGTCCATGCCTGCCAGCCCTATATGCTCCAGGCAGTAGAGCAATGAATGTGAGAGCAGGGACTGAGTGCAGACCCTGCCCTTCCTGTTCCTTGCAGACCCTCTCCTGGGCTTGCAGACAGCTGCAAGAGTCTGCAGGAGCTGGAGCAGTGTTCCCCTGTATCCATTAGGCCGGATGGCACCCATTACCAAAACCCTCCTGGCAGCCCAGCAGCCCCTCACGCTATCTCAACACCCTCCAGCCTCTCTGTCCTGCCCTTTCCCTTGGCTACTGAGCCTGGCTGCCCTTGGGGCTCCTCACACACAGACTTTTTTGCACAGGCTCTGGAGCAACAAAGAGATGTGAGCCCCTACAAATTCCCAAACTCAGAGATACAAGCCAACCAACCTGGAGTGAGATCCCCACCCCAGCAAAATGTGCCCCTCACACAGCCCCAACCACCTTTGTCCCCTTCAGCTGGCTACAAAAGGAACTGCTGCTGCTCCCCAGCAATGGAGCAGGGAGGCTCTCCCACTGGCCACCAGGTAGCCATATCTCCCATGGCCACCAAAACTACTTGAATGGGGGGGCCAAACTGCAGCAAGCCCTGCCTGAGTCCCCTCCTCCCATGTCCCAGCACCCACACTCTGGACCCACAGCCCCAGCAGGGTTTTCCCTCTCCCAATGAACCACTGCCAGCAGGGCACCGTGGTATGGCCAGGAGGGTTGGTGGCAGGCAGGTTCACACCATGCAGCCACTCTGCCCAGCATGCAGCCTTCCCCGGGACATTACCTCTTCCACCAGCTGGTGAGGTGGCTGATGGGGTGGCTTTCTTTTTTGCTTTAAGCTATCCCAAGTGTTTCCTAAAAGCCCCTGGCAACGCTTCCAAAAGGTTTTACAGCCTGAGTGTATAGTGGTGGGGAGCTGAGCAAGGGGAGAGAAAGAGACACACAGAGAGGACAGAGTGGGCAAGGAGCTGCAGCAGGAGAGCACAGGCAAAGTGGGTGGCACAAGCCGGCCTCAGCCCTAAGGCATCACGCAGCATCAGCACGGCCAAAGGTCCCTCTTCAGAGACCCACAGAGACCCAGCAGCTCACTAAGAAATGGCCTAGAGGGGTTTCAGCTTGGGGATTACCCCACAGCCCTCGCAGCCTCCCAGTCTGCTTGGGGCACAGCTCCAGAGAGCTGTTCTGGCTGTGTGGCTGCCACCCATGGTTCTGCCAAAGCGCCCACCATCACCCCGTACCGTTGGCAGTGCCTCCTCCCCTGGCCGCTCGCTGCTGGCCAGCAGCTGTGCCTTCTTCTTCTCGCCCTTCTTGCCAATGCTGAGGATGAGGCTGACCGTCCCCCTGAGACCACAGGGGCCCCGTGGTGGCAGCAGCAGCGTGGAAGTCTCAGCAGGATCCCAGGTGGCAGCCTGCTGGGATTCCGCATCATGGGGTGTTTTGCTGCTGGGCTCCCCCCAGCTCTGCTCCACTCCTGATGGGGCATCTGAGAGGGGTGACGTGGGTGGGGAGATGGCTGTTTTCTCTGGAAGCTTTGGCTCTAATCTTTGCACAGGTTCGAGGAGGGAGGAGGGCATGAACTTCACTGGGCTGTGGATGCTTTCCAGGTGGGGTGGAACATGTGAGGCATGCTGCTCCTGGAGAGCAAGGCAAGAGAGGGAACATGAAGGAAGGGCTGTTGGAGCCAGGCATTTTCTCAGGATAGCCTTCCCTTTGCCCTGCCTGAACCCCAGAGACTCTCACAGGTACTGGCACGCATCCCTCCCCACCTTCTGCACCACCCACTCCATCCAGTGCCTCTGCTACTCTCAGTCTCAAGGCTGGTCATTCTCTCTGACAGTCTCAGCATGGCTGGGTACTCACTTGACCAGTGGGGGATGTGCTTGAGAGGTTCTCCAGCTCCCTCTTGTCCTGTCTGCTCCCCAGATCCTGCTGCTGATGCCTCTGTGCTCGCCACCGCACCAGCACCCAGCCCAGCATGCTCTGCAGCTCTTCCAAGCGCTCCTTTATCTGATGGAGGAGAAATGCTGGGCAGCCTGCAAGGACTCGTGGCCCAGGGACACTGGCCCTACCAGGATATCTCCCAACAGAGCAGTTAGGAGGTTTTTGTGAGTGGGATACAGTCACAGCCACATCAAGTCAGAGCTCAGGATCCACTGGATGAAACTTCTTCCTGCCCTGAGCAGCCCCAGGGATGCATAGCTGTCCCCATCCCACTTACTGGGGCTCTGGACCTACACCTTGCTCTTTCTTTCATGGTCTGTCCCCAGAGGACTTCAGGGAGTGCTGAGAATTTGCCCCCAACCCTACTTCCCCTGTCCTTACTGTTGCACTCAGGTAGTGCTCCTCAGACACCAGCTGCTGCCCTGCTGCTGCTAGTGCCTCAAACTCCTTGAGTTTCTCTTCAATTCTGCTCTCCAGTTCCTCACATGGAGTCTCCGGGATACTGGAGCTGCTTGGGCTTTCAGAGAAGATCTGAGCCCGTGTGTCCTCAGTCCAGGAGCTGTGAGCACATGAAAGACAGGTTGAGGAACGACCTAACCCTTCTCCAGCCCTGCAGGCCCCAGGGAAGCCATTCCCATGCTCAGGGATAGCTGGAAGCAGCTCACTGGGGTTGTGGCAAGACTGTTGAGGCAGGACAAGATGCTGCAGGGCTGCCTCACAACAGACAGCTGTGGTGCAACCCTGCATTCCAGGCTCCCCATGATCACGCCTGGCTGCAGCTCCAGCACTGCCCACATAGTTGCTAATGCCATGCTCTCACCAGCTCCCCCTCAGCCACCACAGAAGCAACCCCAACAGGTCACTGCCACTTACATCATGGCTAAATAATCCTTGAAGAAGTGCCGGAGCTGGCTGGCCTGCTGCACGCGGAGCCGGGTCTCCCGCAGTAGCTCTCGCAGCCCTGCCCAGGCCCACAGAGTCTCCTGCAGCTCCCAGCTGATGGGGCACTGCCGAGCGGGGCACAGCTCTTGCACGCGGGCAGCTGCCCTCTCCAGCTCCTCCAGCTGCCCTTGCAGGGTCTGTGACACTGCTTGCTAAAGATTACAAGGCAGGAAAGGTTCAAGATGCATCCAACCCCTCTGAACCCAGGCTGGATTCCCCTGCATTCTGGGATGCAGGGACAGAGGAGAGGATGCTGGTACATGGGCTGCAGAGAGCGGGCAGAGCTAGCCTCCGTGGGGAGCACAGGAAGAGCACAGAACTGCCTGGCTTCCCTGCCCTGTGTGCATGAGTCGCTTCCCCACCAGAGGGAAGACAAGTGAGGTGCTGGCAGCTGGGTGTTGGCACATGGGAGCTGATGCAAGCTCTCTCCCCTTGCCTGGCCCGTGCTATCAGAGGGGATCAGAGCAGGCAAGTCTCAGCTCCACTGGAAAATTCCAGCCCGCCTTGCCACAGTGTGCCAAAGCTTACAACACCTGGGTCCCTGGATCGGGGTCAGTGCCTCACTGGGACAGCCCCAGCCAGCTGGGGCACCTCCCTGGCAGTGCTCCCCTGACTCACCTCCATCTCCTGCTGGCAGCTTAGCAAGTCCTGCAGCCCTTGCAGGTCCTTCTCACTCTTCACCGTGGTGAAGCTCTTCTCTGCTAGGGCAATGTCCTGAGACAGAGCCTTGGCTCTGCACTGAAGGGCCTCCAGCTGTGGGGATATCTTCGCCACCTGGATAGACAGGAGGAGACATGGAGGGAGATTAGCCCCGGGGTGGAAGCCCCTGTGCTACCACCTGCCACACAGCCCCAGCCCACCCTGGCCTGGGGACACCCTGCCATGCAGCTGCAAAAGGGCAGGTGCCAGCCATGGGAGAGACAAGGATACCAGCCTCACACAGAGTGATCCCCATGAATCCAAATGTCCTTGTGTCCCACTGAGGACAGCTGAAGTGCACCCCCAGTCCCAGTGAGCCAGCATGTCCAGCTGCAGATGAAGCACTGGTTGCATCCCCAGGCTCCCAGCCTCCATTCCCTACCAGACGCTCCAGGCTCTCCGTCTCCACTGCCACCTCCATGACCCTCTCCCGCTCCTTCGCTGCGTCATTCAGCATCTCCACGGCCTCCTGCAGCTCTCCCAAGGGGCGCCTCATGTCCTCACTGCTTGGAGACTTCTCAGTCTGGGCTGAGAGCAGGGGAAAACACCCCTGCGAGCCACAACGCCCACTGCCTGCCTGAAGCCAGCAGAAACACCAGACATAAGAGATGGGGAGTGACACCCCAGGCAGCTGGGCTGGAGGGGAGCACCCAATAGGGGCCCCTTGCCAACCACAGATCAACCCTTGGTCCAATCCCAGGTGCTTTGTGACCCCAAGGGATGCTTGGCCACATTGCTCACCACTGCAGATCCCTGCTGGCTCCGTGCCTCCTCCTCTTGCAGGTCCTGCAGGAACTCAGACAGCACCAGGGAGTCACACAGATCTGCTGCCCTGTGCCGTAGGGTCGCCTGCACATGTGCCAACCTGTGGGGAGAGGTGCTCATCAGAGGTGCTGGCAGCTTCTGCACCTCCTCAGGGACAACATCCTCCTCCCCATCCAACCTGGGGACCAGAGAAGAGGCACCTTCCTCCAGGACTCACTTCTCCTCCATCATCTCCACTTTCCTCTGCATCTTCCTTGCCCCCTCGTGCTCAGTGGGCGACTCGCCTGCTGCTTCTTCCCGCAGTGCCTGCAGCTTGAGGCCACAGAGCAGGAGCTGCTTCTCCAGCTGGCTCAGTTCTTCCAGGTCCCGGCGCAGCTCTGCCGGGCTTCTCATGGCGGCTGGTTCCAAGAGTGACCCAGCCACGTCTTGCAGCCACCGCTCAGCTTGGTCCAGCTCTCCCACCAGCCTCAGTGCCTTCAGGGAGAGCAGGTTACCCATCAGCCTGGCTCTGAGCCAGCCAGAGGAGGTAGGAGCCATGCCGGCATCCCACTGGAGGTACCTGGGGCACAGGCAGCACAGTGGGAGAAGTGTGCCATCTGCAAGGCCAGCCAGAGACATCGGTGCCAGTGTTGCAGCTCCAGGCCCCAGAGGTGCCAGCCTCACTTGGTGATCCCCAGCAAGCTGCTCCAATTGGAGCATGCCCTGTGGCCACCCTAGCCCTGACACCACGTACCTTATCGATTTCTTGCAGCACTATGCCATTCTCCTGATGCCTCCTCTGCAGGTCCTCCCATAACTCTCCCAGTTCCCGCAGCATGGCCTCCACCCGAGGGCTCCTGGGAGGCCTTCCTCGTGCTGGTTCCTCCTGGGAGGCAGGGAGGGCAGTTAGGATGGGTCCCACCTGGTGTCCTCCCCGCACCTCATATCCAAGCAGGCTCACCAGGAGCACAGCCCTGGTACTGGAGCTGGGAGACAGGGGCTCTTGCTGCATCCTTGCTGCCTCCAGGCTTGCCACTGGACATGAGGGGACTCCAATACCCATACTCTCCTTGTATGGGGACAGAGTCTGCCAAGGAGCAGGAGACATGCTGGGTTAGTGCCCAGACCAGGCATGTAGGCACAAGCCTGCATGCCCACGAGCAGCAGGAGGGGGTTAGGGAAGTGACTCCCTGTCTCCTCTTGGATGGGCAGGGAGCAAAGGGGACTCTTGGGGAGACATTACCTGGCAGACATCCTGCACTTGGGTATCCAGCTGCTGCAGCCCCCAGTCAGCCTCTGCCTCTCTCCTCCTCCAGCAGAGAGAGGAGAAGGACAGTCAGGACTGCAAATTCCCCCTTGCACAGAGGAACCCCATCCCTATCCCGTTTGACTATGTCTTGCTTCCAAAGCCACCTCCACAAGGTGGTACCTTTTGTTGTCCCCTCCATGAGGGGCCTGTCCCACTGCTGGGGAGCCAGGGTTGCTCTCCTCTCCTTTCTTGTGCTCTGCCATCTTCTCCAGCACATCTTTTGGTACCTGTGGCACAAAGATTCCCTTTCCTCCTTGGCCAGCACAAAGCATATACCTGCTTTGTCCCAGGCCTGGCACTTATCACCTCCCATAAATGGTGGGACCAGATCCAGGAGTGTTCAGCTTGGATTCTGCCCAACACCTGAACCCCTTTCCCATAGGCTCTCTTGTTTTCTGGAAGCAGAGGAGCTGCAGATGCCTGGAGTGAGATAGTGCTTACCATGCTGCCGAGTCCTCTTGTCCACTTGGCTGCTGCTTCCTTACCCACAGCCCCACGACTGCTATCATCTCCTTGGGGCTCAACATTTGGAGCTGCAGCTTTGCTCCCTGGGGAACTGCCTGCCCGTGCTGGAGCCTTCCCTGTTCTGGGAAAGGAAGGCAAAGGAAGCCCAGGGGAGCAGAGGATAAAGAGAGACCTTGAGTGGAGCCCCAGAGACAGCCTGCTGGGGGCTAACCCAGGTCTTTCCCAAGCCTCTGGCTCCAGTGCTGGGAGGTCAGGGTTGGGACCCTGGTGCTCCTGCCCAGCTATGCTCTACCTCAGTGCCTGTTGAAGCTGTGCCCAGCTCTCCTTTACGTCTCGGTGCTTTGAGGTGACTTGGGCTGCCAGGCTGGGCTGTAAGTTTAGGAGCTGGGACACTGTCACATCCAGCATCTGGAGAAGAGAGAGCAGCTGGGAAGTGATGGAGACAGGGTTCATGAGTGACAAACCACCATGGCCATGGGGAGGGTGCGTGACGACAACCAGTCCTCTGGGGACAGAAGAGGCCGTGAGTGCCTATCCAAGTCCTTGTCTGCCCCCAGGGAGATTCCCCCATCCATCACACAGCCTCAGCCACCCACATAGTGGGGGGTGCTGGCAGAGCCCACAGCGCTGCTGGTGGCAGAGCTGGCCTGGGAAGGCTCACATTCCCCCCTGCCAGGATGCTCCCCAGGGCTCAGAGGACAAAGCAGACTCTTGCACTCACCATCACCTGGCTGGCTATGTCCCTGATATCCCGATCCTGGCATGGCTCACCCTCCCCTGGCTTCCCTGTACTGCAGATGCTGCTCTGCTGTAAGGAGAGGCCACGGTCAGCAGTGGGAGGAGGACAGGGCCCTGCTCCCCGCTTCAGCAGAAAGAAACAGTGCAAAGCTGCACTTGCCAACCTGGCTCCCTTTCTCCATCCCCCGGTTCTCTCCCCACAGCCCAGGCTGAGAGTGCTGGGACCACAGGAGTGTCCATGCAGGGGACAAGAGCAAGATACTGCCCACCATGTTGCCATGCAACAGTCCCACATACCAGGGTGAACGTGACTCAAGTGCAGATACCTTTGCATGGATGATCCCCAGCAGGATATCTGCTTGCTGGAGGAAGGAGGCCACCTCCAGGGCCAGCTGCAGAGACTCGTGGTGCTCCTTCAGGGTCCCCTGCAGCCGAAGCCACCTGAGCAGGTGAAAGGGGAAAGGTGAATGGCAGCCTGTGTCTGTCTGGGGAGCTGTGCAGAGCTAGGCCAGGAAGTCTGGGGGGGTCCTGCTTCGCAGTTAGTCAGCTCCTGGTGCCTGGCTCAGCCCTGCTCGGCCCATGTGTCCTCCACTCACGCTCTGTTGAGGTGCTTGCGCCGGGCTGAGATGTTTCTGCTCTCATTTTTGCCTTCTTTCTCCAGCTTCTGGGCCAGGCTGTTCAGCTCCTTGTGCAGACTCTGGAACTGCTGCTCCTCCTGGCCCAAGCAGAGAGGAAAGACATCAGCATCTCTCCTCAGGGACCTGTGCCATGCCCCAGCCTCAAGGTATTTGGGGTCCCTGAAAGGTCAGCAATCCCCCAGCAGCGTCTCACCTGCTTCAAGTCAAGGATGCGGCGAGTGAGCTGGATCTTATCCGGGCTTTCCTGCAGGAGGGCTGCCAGAGACGGCTTCTCCTCCTGGGCCAGGCAAGGGTGTGAGAAGGTGGGGGACAACTAGGCTGTCTCCTTCCCCAGACCATGCTTCCCATCCCCCAAACCTTGTCCTTGATCCACGCCTCCAGCCGCTCAGCTTTCCTGTTAAAGTCCTGCAGACCCCACAGCCCCCGGAGGGCTTTGCTCTGGCTGGCAGCCGTCTGCTTCAGGAGCTGCCACAGGTCCTGCAGGGCCTGCAGCTGCCTCTGCATGGCCTCAGCACTGGGGCTTGCCCTCCACATCAGCTGCTCACCCATCTGTGGGGCCAAGCAACCCACTCAGCATCAGGGGCTCCCAGGGATCCTCTGCTGCGAGAACCCAGAGACATGTGCTGTGAGTAACGGGAGCCATGCCATGCCATGCTCTGCCTGGCCCCACCTGATTGAGCTTTATCAGTGTGTTCTCAAAATCCTTCATGTCCCGCTGCAAGGTCTGAGCCACCTCCTCACAATCCTGGAGGTCACAGCCGTCCTTCAGGTCCCGCAGCTTGCCTCGCACCCAGGTCTCTGCCTGCAACATACAAAGAGCCACGTGGCTGGGGGCCTCCTCCAGAGCCTCAAGGACACGGCTTTGGGGACCTGAGCCCAAACCTTCCCAAAGCTGTGACAGGGACTGGAGTGCACCCTTTCAGCTGAAAACCCGTTTGCTCTGGGAATCAACGGGCCAGCACTCAGGACAGCATCTGTGGCAATGGGGATGTGAAGGTGTGCAGCACCTCACTTCTGTCCATCATCTGCCTCAGCCCAACAGGAGAAACTGGGCTTGCCCAAGCAGGTGGGTCTGCACAGAACATCCCTGCACAAAGCATCTCTCCTCGCTGCACCCTGCTCCCCAGTGCAAACACCCATGCATTCTTCCCACCATGGCATGGAAGCAGCCCTCCCACCAGCTCAGTTCCCACGCTGCTGGGGAGGGACAGGGTCTGAGAGGAGGAAGAGAATGGGGCACAGGAGGAGCATGCGCACACAGAGAGGAAGCAGGGCCCTGGTGTGGGCTGACCCCCTCTCCCTGGGGCTGACAGCCAGGGAGAGGCAGCCAAACATGATCTCATGCCACAACCATGGCTTCGCTCAGGCTGGGAGTTCAACCCTCCCTGCTGCACACCCCACCCCACAGCTCGCAAGAAAGGCTGCCGGTGGCCCTCCATTCCACTTCCTATGCAGACCCTTGGGAGAGGACCCCAGCTGGCCTCACCTGCAGCATCTCCCGGTTGAACTTGGCTATCAGAGGACTCAGGTCCAGGAGAGGGGTTGCTCCCACACCACTTCGCCCACTACATCTTGGTGCTGCAGCAGACTCCTTGCCCTTAGGGCTCTCTTTCTGGGGTGAAGACACCGGGGATCCTGCCAGCTGTGGGGAGCAGAGGCAGGGCTGGGAGTGTCAGTGTGCTGCCCCAGGGAGCCCTCCCTGTTACCTCTCAGGAGCATTTTAGAAACCCAAATGAAGTAGGTCAGCATGCCTTATTCTTAATGCCACTCTTTCACTGACATATTTGGGGTTCTCCTCCAGCACACTGAGGTACCACTTCCCTCTACCAAGGCCACAGTGGTGGCTTTTGCAACCCCAGCAGGGGGTTGCTGGGCTATCCTTCAGGTGGGTCACTCTCTAGGTCATTCCAGGCTGTTGGGATGGCATCCCGCACCTGGACTGGTCCTGGCACCCACACTGGAGATGGATGCAGTGCTTGCTGCCCCTCCAGCCTCAGGCAGTGCATCCCTGCGAGGAGCATTCATTTCTGTAGCATCTGTATCATACAGGGGGATGCTGCCAGGGGATGGGACGGAGGGGCAGGTTTCTGGTAAGCCCCACCACTCCTTTGGTGGCACCCAAAACCCCCATCCCCAGTGAGTGGTTGGAGGGGGCAGAGAGCACAGCATCTCCCTTGGGATTTGGCCTTGTGGGCAGTTGATGCTGATGAAACTCTCTGCCAGGGGTGACAGCAAAGGTCAGCCAATGAAAGTGCTGGCCTTTCTCCAAACTCAGCCCTGGACCCAGCTGCACGCAGCCCAGGGGACAGCACTGCCATCCGGGCACTTGCTTCCCACCCTTCTGTCCAGGGATGGGGATCTGACTGCATATTAACTGGCGGCAAACAGGAAACTGAGAATTTTCAGGAGGAGCCCAAAGGTGCAAGGCTTGCTGCCTCCTCTCAGCAGGCAGAAATTGCTCCTGGCCTAGCCTGGGACAACCCTTCCTTCTTGAGAGGGCTGGGTGTGAGCTGCCTTACAGGGTCTTAGCTGCCCCGGAGCCTCCCAGCGAGCAATTTTCCAAGAGCCTACGGAGCAGTGAGGTTCAGGCAACTGTTTCAGGCTCTTTAAGCACTCTGGCAAGTGCTGCCCTGCTGACAGCATGGGAGTCACTTTCCAATGCCTGTTCTACTTAACCACAAGAACTACAGAAATCCTCTGGGTTTTTTTTTTTTTTTTTTTTTTTTTTTTTAAATAGCAACACAAATTCTCAGGCCCTCCTATGACTCTGCGACCTTTAGTCTCTTGACTCAGCCATGGCTGGAGGAGCCCATAATCTGGCTCCCTTGGAAGCAATAAAGCCTCTGGGTGCTGCCTGGGGGGCTGATTCCTTGCCCCGTCATGCCCAGCTTGCTCCTGCACTGATCGGAACAGGCAAGGCTCCATCCACACCTGGGCACACCACCAGTGACCAGCCTCATTGCTCAGCTCCAAGCTGCATATCATGCCCCCCTAATGTTGAGGGCAGGGGGACATACCGCATAGAAGGGAGAGCATCTGCCCACTGGAGAGCAGAAAACACTGGCCTGAACACTCCCAGGCTCCTGCTGCTTGTCGTCTGCATCCACGTCCTTCCTGAGGAAGACCTAGAGGCAGGAAGGCACAGCTGTAAGCCTGGTAGTGCTTAACTGTCCTGGTAGCCAAGGAGACAGAGGAGCACCCACCCACCTCCCCCTGGCCTGGGCCAGAGGCAGCTGCTGGTACTGCCCAGACGCTGCTTGGCTGCGCTCTTGCCCACCCCTCCCTATGCATCTAGGCTAGTCTTCTCTGAGCAGCATCCACAGCTCCCACTATGTGTCCAGCAAGTGGCAAGAGCTCCTAAGACTGCTTTGCTCACAACCTTCTTCATTTTAGCTCCCAGTACCCCAGACAATCTTTTCTCTCCTTGAATTGATTCCAAAGCCAGCAGAAATCCATTAATGATCACCACTGGTTCCAGGTCATCTAAGGATGTTCAGAGTGAGACTCCCCTGCCCTCTTCCAGGACAGTAGGGCAGAGGCATGAGGGTACAGGTTGACATTAACTCCAGAATAATGAACTTGAATCCTCTCAGCTGCTGATCCCTGATCTCAGCCTAGCTGGGAGATGAGTTAAGGGGGCAGCTGGTCGGCAGAGAAGGGCTTCCAAAGGACAGGGGTGAGGGTGGAAGCACGAGAGGCAGAAGGAAGGAAGTCCAGAAACTTCAGCCAGGCACAGAGAGGATGTGCAGGATGAACTCCACATTACCTTATCCTTGATGCAGCACAGCCCCAGGAGGAGAGGTGCGTGGGATTGTTTGGATCATGCCCAAGGGCATTAAGCCTCATCCTCTACAGATGGATCTTTTCTTGGGCTGTTGGATATAACAGGCTAACTTAGGGACCTCCTTCCACTCCCTTCCTGGGGCCACCTTGCTGTCTCTGTAGCAGCCATCCAAGTGGGCTCAGGGCAACAGAAACAGGGTAGTGGACAATGTGTGCTGCCCTGACAACCCCTTCTCCGAGACAGCCGCAAACGCGGCGCTGGATCAGCCAGAGCCAGCCTACCACTGCTCAGGCCACTCCAAACTGAGGACACTGTCCAAGGGAAACGAACCTAGGCAAATTAGAACTCCCTTCTTGCACAGCACATCGCTTCCCACCATCTCTCCAGCACCGCAGAAAAGTCTTGACATGAACAGCAGCCCCCAGCAGAGAGCTGCTGCCACCAAAAAATCTCAGAGCCCTACAAGCGGCCCAATAGCTCTACAACCTCTAGGAGAACAGCATCACTGGACCTTTCCAAGGGCTTGCAAAGCTTGACCCAGGGTTGCAGAGGACAGACCGCTGCCACATGCCATAGCATCCCATCCCAAACAGAAAGAACAGTCAGGGTACAAGGCTGAATCACAGCTTAGCAGGCACAGTGAGAACTCAGCAGGAGGGTATTAGAAGGAAAAGGAAACTCCTTGCCTGACCACAGGGCTGAGAGGTTTGGCTGCATATTTAGGGAATGATAGGGAGCTAAATGTGAAGTGCCTGTGAGAAATAAGACCCTAGAAAGCTTTATGCAGTAACATCTCAGGCTGGCCTCCAATGCTCAGCTGTGGGAGACAAGCCTGCAGGTGACATGGGAGCTTTATTTAAAGTCCCTGTCTCACGATCCGTCAGCCGCAGGAAAACAGGGCTGCCAGCACAACGATGACTTCATCCTTCCTGCAGAGCTGCTCCACCGGGACTACCCCCGCTTCTCGGTCCCTCTGGCTGGAGCTGGGTCCTCCATCGGGCAAAACAACAAACTCTCTCAGCAAACAAAGTCTGGGAGAAGGAGCTGAGCCTGCCTCAGCATCCATGAGGTGCTGTGCTAAATGCTCCCTAGCAGGACACCAGGCTTCATGACATGAGCAAAGCCACACGTGAAATGAGCACAGCAGCCTCAGCTGCCACCTCTGCAAACACTTTTTTCCCCCTCTAAAAGCAAAATTAACACGGCGCATATGCTTGCCGCATTCCCGTAAGAATAGGCACCAGTGACTTCCCACGAACAAGACGAGTGGGGCCAGACCCTCCTAGGCAGAACTGTGCTCATCCCGGAGAAGCCCCTCATTCCTATGGGGCGGGAGTGAAGGGCAAATCAAAGGGCTGCGGGCTACACTCGGGAAGGCATTACCGTGCTCTGTGTGGGAGATAGTGTCCCTCCTCTCCTCCAGCTGCCATCCCACATGTTCTCCCCTGCCTGTCAGCTCCCTCTTTCTCCCAAAGCTCCATCTTTCAGCTCACCTCTTTCAGCTCCACATGCTCATGCTGGACAGGAAGGAGAGGCTGATCCTGGCAGCCTCCCGAGAGTCCCACACCACCGTGCCCAGCACGTGTCCCTACCTTATATGAAAGAGGGGAGCCCTCATGCCCATGCCGTTTGGGCTGCGCAGACTCTGGCCGCCCAGCGAGGAGCTGATTGCATGCCGGAGGAAGAGGCACCTCTTGCGAGGCTGCGCCTGGCCTTTATTGGCAATGAAGATGAGGGTTTTGGCAGTGGGTTGCGCGGCTCTCTCTAGTACTATTCTGCCGGGAAGCCAGCTCTTGCAGGTCAGGGTTAATTCCCAAGGAGTTCCTGCCTGCTCTTGCCAGAAACTGCGACGTCTCCGAGATGCCTTCCCCCCGTCAGGGGGTCTCCTGAGCTCTGGCACTGTTGAATTCGTATCTCTGCGCCTGCTAGCGCTCAGACTTGGAGGGCGGGGTGCCGAGAGCCCTGGGTCCTGATCCTAGCCTTGTCCCAGCTTTGCCTGGCTGTGTGGCCCTCCATGAGTCACTTCCCTTCTCCCAGCCTCCGTTTCCCCTCTGGTAAATGAGAGAGTGAGTTCCCAGCTCCCCGCACTCAACTGCAGCATCACAGGCATCTCGCAAGCTGAGCCCTCCATAGCCAGGCTCCAGGGCAGGGCTTTTTTGGCTCATCTCAGCTCCGCGGAAAGTTCACCTCCGCTCACCCGCGGAGACTTCCCACCCGCCAGCCTGATGGGACAGAGAAGTACGTGGGGGGCACACGGGAGGAAAAGTAACTACTCCAGGAGCCCTGCAACGACTGCTACATGGACGGCATAGGGATAAGGCAACAGGGATGGGCGCTGCCTCCCCAGGACCTATCCATCCCTTGGCAGCGAGGAATGGGGAATTGCAGGGAAAACGGGGTGAGGACAGGGCACAGAGTACCGGGATAGCTTACCTTGAATTGAGCTTTCCCTGTCCTGCTGTTGTTATTGTTGTGGTTCCTTTCGCCGCTGGCGCGGGCAGGGTCCCCGGGTCCCTCTGCCTCTCCCGTCCCAGCGTCCCCGTACCAGTTGGACAGCGTGATCTTCTTAATGGAGCGGGCTAGGGAGCTGCGGTTCAGCCGGTCCTCCTCGGGGCCCCCGTCCTCACCGGAGCCGGGGCTGCGGGGCTGCCCCGCTTGGGCGGCGGGACCGGCCCGGGCGTGGGCCAGGTAAAGGGAGATGCGCTCGTTGATGCTGCGACGGAGGCCGCGGTGGCTGTCCAGCGCGGAGGCGAGGGCGATGCCGGGGCAGGCGTCTCTGGGGAAGTCGGCGGCACACTTGGGCACCGAGAGCCTGGTGCTGATGGTGAAGGGCTGCACCTTCCTCGCCGTGCTGCCCGACATTCTCGCCCTCCCCGCTGCCCGCCGCGGGCAGTGGGAGTCCCGGCCCGGGCACCGTGGGGTGAAGAGGCAGCGTGGGGCCCCCACCGCCCGGGAGAGCGGGCGATGGAGATCGCCGGGGCAGCGCCGGCTCCTTCCCCGGGGCGGGCAGGGGCGCTCAGCGGCGGGGCGGCCCCGCGGCGGGGGGAAGCGGGGCGGGGGGCGGCCCAGCAACCATGGCCGGAGCGGCGAGACGCGGGCAGCCCTCCGTCCTCGGCTGCCTGGGCGGGCACTCCGCCCCGTCCGGGGCGCGTCCCCTCCCCTGCCCGGTCCCTCCTCCCTCAGCGGGCCGGACAGGCGGGGGGAGCCGCCGCGCCCTGCCGGGTCCGTCCCGTCCCGTCCCTGCCCGTGGCCGGCCGACTTCAGTCGTCCGCCTTCTTGCGCAGGTTGAGGAGGCAGAGCAGGCAGGTGAGCAGGGCCTGGCGGCTCTCCCGGGAGCACAGCCGGCGCCCCAGGCGGCGGAGCGGCGGCAGCAGGCGCCGGCGGGCCAGCGGCAGCAGGCGGGCGAGCAGGGCGCGCAGCAGCGGGGCGGCCAGCGGCGGGGCGGGCATGCTGCCCCCGAGCCCGCGGGCACGGCGGCACAGCCCCGGCTGACCTGCGGGAGCGGCGGCGCCCGGCAGCTCCTCGCGTTTTGGGACGTCTGAGCTGAGCGGAAAGCTGGGGATTCGCACCCCCCTGAGAGCGGGAACTGCTTGGGGCAGGCTCGAGGTTGAAGCACTGGAAGGGGCTCCTTCCCGTCTCTTGCCCGGGTTACGCTTACCCTCTTTGGGATCCTTGCTGCTCCGGGACACCACTCAGCTCTTTCTCCCGGAGTAGCCTGGACTTCTCAGTTTCCCCAGCGTGAACCTGCCACCAGCCCTAATGGCAGGAACAGCTCCAGAGCAAGGGACAACAAAAAACCCCCCAGCTGTTCATTTAAATGGCCCCTCCTCCCAGGCCCGACACACGCTCCCTGAAAGGTCGCAGTCGAGGCCCCTTTTGTCGGGGCAGCAGGGTAGGGGACGTAACGGGGGGCAAGGGAGGATCAACATCTGCCCACACAGGAATGTGGGCTGGCAGGGTGGGGTTCTGTTTCACTGCAAGTCTTTGCCATAGCCCTTGAGCAGGCAGCTGAGTCCAAAATATGCTTTTCTGTCATTCCCTGCCAGTGCCACCAATTGTCACCCTGCTCCTATAAGGGTCAGGAATGCAGATCAGGTGAGCCAACAAGGAAAGTACACAGGGATGGCCCAAGGTGTAACAGACTGATTGTCTACTACTGAGTTGTGTACTCCCCTGAGAAAGAGCTCTAATTTGGGTCCATGAGTGGCTCAAGAGCAGGATAGTAATGAGTGTCCTGCACTTTCCAGATGTGTTCCAGTGTTCCCAAGCTGAGTTAGCTTGCAGCAAGCAGCCAGGGGAGCACAAGCTAGCCAGAGTGAGCATGCAGGCAGGAAGGTCCATGGTCATGTCTGTGCCCTTCCACTTCCCTCCTGTGCCAAACCTTTGTTTTGTTCCTCAGATGTCTGTTTTCGTTTCCTCCCCTTGTTTCCTTCCAAAACCCTGCCAAGGCCCTACTTTTGGCTCTCGCTCAAGAAGAATTTAGGAGAATGAACAGACACAAGGGGCCAAAAGCTACTGTTCCATTTCCCTGCCTGCCTGCTGTAAGCTGTCCCTTGCCCAGTAAGTCCCATCCAAGGATGGTTAGTTCAGCCAGGGTGACCTTTCCCAGCCCCACAGATTCTTCCCAGGGAGCCAGCCATGGATGAGGAAAGCAGGCTGGCCATGCCTCAGCACAGGGACACCATGTGCTGAAAGCAGAAACAGAGAAACAGCTCCCCGATGGTCCTAGAGCTTCAAGGACTGGGGTTGACGTCAGCCCCTTGGGACTGGCCTCCTGGGGGCTCCCGGGCTCCGGGTCTGCCGTGGCCAGAGGCCGTGGCGCAGGCACAGGGCTCTGCTGCGCGCTGCCGCCAGCTCTGCACTGGGAGTGGGAAGAGCTCAGAGGAAGGAAGTGGGAGCCAAAGCTTTGCTGCAGCTATGTCAGGGTTTGCATTTCCCCAGGAGGGAGCATCTCCCCTTCTATCAGGGAGGCAGCGGGTGCAGTGCTTGGCCTGCTCTTGAGACTTCTGGGTTCACTGTGCTGCAGCCGATCCTGGATAAGCCTTACTTAGTACCTTAATTTCCCCAGCGGTACAGCTCCACTGGGAATATCCTCTCCTTGTGCAGAGGGCACTTGCAGCACCCTATTTCTGAGGCGGCTGGGGACCGCTGGGATGAAAATGCAGCATCCTAGGTCAGTGTCAGTCATGACAGTAATGGAGGAGAGTGGACATCTTATTTTGCAGGGAGCCTTTTCCTAGGAAAAGCCTTGCCTGGGCTGGGGGAACTGATCTACCTGCCATCCTTACCGGAGGAATCCTGTCCTCCAGTCCCACGGGGAAGGGAGGTGCTGACCAGGTGCAGAGATGCTGCAGCACATCCCTGGGAGCATTGCCTCTTGAGTGTTAGGTTGTATCTGAGTGTAATGTTGCCGAGATACACAAGGGAGTGGATGGAAAATTCTTTGGGAACAAAGGGGTGTTGCCCTGATTCTTAAGATTTTCTGAAGCCTACTGAGTTTACATTCTTGTAGAGAACTTTCTCACACAGCTTTCTGTAAACAATCTATTGTTTTGCATTCCTCCATAGAGGCAGAAAAATTTGATGTACTAGTAGTTTGTCCAATGTCATTGGAGAGGTGGCACATTCACCCTCCAATCCACTGTCACCTTTGGAAAAGTATAAATGCTGGAGTCAGAAAATAAACTTCCTCTTTTTCACCTTTGCAGTAGCAGCGGCTCGTGTTGTGCTTTCACGTGTGTGTAGTGACAAAGGGGCTGTAGTGTGGCCTCTGTAGAAACCTGCTCCTTCCTGGGGAGGGAGCACAAAAGGCTCTCACCCTGCTTTGAGAGCCAGATGCTTGCAACATCCCAGCACTGGGAAGAAAATGGGGCAGGGCTTAATTGCCACGCTCTTGGGACTCATAGAAAGGCAGATTTTTGTCTCTTGCCAAACATTCAGAGATCTTGCCAAGTTACTTTCCCCATCTGGAAGGTATGGGTCTTTAGCCTCCAAGTGGGCAAAAGTACAGCCCAGGGAGATGAAGGAATGTAAACTTGCTCCTCTGTCGAGTAATGCCCAAGAGAGAATGCAACCTTGAAAGAAAACAAAATCGCATCAGTATCTACTTCAAAATGAAAGATTTAGGGAGCAGAGTCCTGCCCATGTGTTTCCTAGGCCAAGGCACGTAGAGCTTTGCTGTAACTTCTGTGATCCATGGAGGGCTTTCTGGTCCTGCAATCACTACTTTGTCTCTCAACATTTTTTACTTGTCTGTGTTTCATCCCTCTCCACCAAGGGACTCAAAATTCCTCACCAGATGATTGGCTTATGTTTTGCTGGGTATGTGTCAAGACCACTTCCTTTCAGGCATCCGCTTTATTGCTTTACTGCACCGCCTATTGACTGATGGGGAGGGCTGAGATCCACTGGGGCTGGAGCCAGCCAGCACCTCCATCTCCTCTGCGAGAGGATGGACCCATTGGGAGGCCACCTCAGAGGAGGCACAGCTGTAGGGTCATGGGTGTGTGACATGCCAGTACCTGGGCAGGAGATGGCTGTGCTACCTCCTAGAACAACTCCCCTTGCTTGCTGCTGCCCTTCTGTGGAGGGAATGTCTTCTGAGCAGTCCTGTGCCTCGTCACGCAGCAGGCAAATCTGGCACTGGCACCTGAGGAGTGACCTGCCAGCACTCAGCCTGCTCCCACAACAGCATCTCTGCTCTGTGGGAGGGCAAGACTCTCATGCCATCTCAGAGGCAGGGGGCAGAGCAACCATGGGCATAGGCTGTTTCATGATAAAACTCCAAAGGATTCAGCAGGGATCATGGGAAGAAGGGCATCTTTGCCATCTGTATGAGATTTGCTGCAAGTTTTGCTCTGGGCAGCACTGGGAACTCTCAAAAGTGGCAGGGGAGTAAGATGAGAGTCAGGAAGGCCAAGAATATTTTGTTTTAGGAAGCCTCACCTTTCTGGCAGGGATCCCAGAGGGTGCTGGTGATGGGGACAATGGTGGCACTCAAGCACCTAGCCCCATGCAGGAGGAGCACAGGTTGTTCCTACTGGTGAGGGACGCAAGTGCTATAAATAGGTTGTTTAATGCACTGTGGCCAGGCCTTGGAAAGCCCCAGCCCATGCTCATTCCCTGCTGCTGGCACTGAGACAGCAGCTGTTGAAAGAGGCTGAATCCGGCAGCTGCTGGCTGGCACTCCTGGCCCCTGCCCCGAGTCCCAGGCCTCCTGCTCCCTTTGTGGGGTGGCTGAGACCTTAGCATCCCTTGGCACAGTTGCTGAGGCTCAGTACTGGTGTTGGTGCTGCTTCCTCAGCCAGCAGTGACTGCAGGATGCCACTGGTGCTGGAGGGACAAGGAGGATGAGGAGAGGGCTTTCCTGCCTGATATCCCTTGCAGTAGTGGGGAGACTGCCGTGCCTGGCTGGGAGCTGTGGGGCCATGCCAGAGTCAGCTGCTGCCCACCCACGATCTCTCAGCTGTGGCTGTCCCCAGCCCCAGCTTGCAATGCTGGGCTGGGCCCCCACACCCCGTCTCTGCTCACACAAAGGCCCCTTGTGCCCAGGGGAATGGGGCAGACTGAAGCATAGCCAAGGGAGAGATGCCAGAGCCCAGCTGCTGGGGCAGCTGGTGGGCCAGCTGGGAATGGGCTGCGGTCCTGGCCCGCTCCTGTGCCTGGGGAATGGACACCAGCAGCTGGTGGAAGAAGGGGAACCCCCAGGGAGGGCAGGCAGCTCTGGGCTGCGGGAGACAGGGCCAAATGAGGTGCAGGAAATGCTGGGATGTTGGGGAGCAGGAGCAGTGGTGCTGTGCATCCATGGTCGCTGCTGGCCCACCCAGCACAGATCTACGGGATAGGTGTGGGAAAGGCACAAGTGCTGGCTAGTGTCTGTCACAAGACTAAGCCAAAGCTAAGAGCAGGTTTGGTCACACCTGCCCCCCTTGCTACTCCCCTCACCTCAGGATTTAAGGTGTCTGCTGGGCATCTTCCTTGTCGCCTTTGCAATGACGGGGAGGAGCCAGGCTACTTTTAGTGGCATTAGCTGGTAGCTGGGGAAGCCCCCAGCTGCCGATCCCTGCTGATACTGATCTACCAGCTGCTGGGGCCAGCGAGGGAAGGGATCTGCCAGCTGGCACCCAGAGGGAGGGAGGGAGGGGGCTCCTGGTAAGGCTACGCCAGGGGCACCTGTCATCCCAAAGCCAGGGTGTCACCATCCCCTATAATTGGGCCTCTGTGTGCATGACGAGGCCCTGCAGCTGGGACAGCTCTACCTGACTGCACCTGTGTTCTGTCCCACCTCAGCCTTGTTTTGCAGGGGATTTGGGATTGCATGGAGGAGCATGAAGCCTGGGCTGGCAAGCCCTAAGGTACTCCCAGCCCACAGGGAGGCAGCTCAGCTCACAGGCAGTCAAATGACAAGCACAAGTAGCCCGCCCACCTCCATCCAACCCTGGGGAGCCTCTGTAGGAGAGGGCAGCCTTGTGAGAAAGCTGGGGGGCTGTTTCCTCCTGCCGGCACACCTCAGCTCCTGTCTGTGCTCTGAGCCAGGCTGGCTTGCACCAGAACTGGGTGCTGCCCCACTGTGGGGATGCTGGTCCCAGAGAGCTGGGCTGGTCCAAAGGGCACCCGTATAAGGTGTGATACTGGGATGGATGAAGTACGCAAGGTCACTGCTCTTACAAATGCTGAGCACCCCTGGGCCATCCAGGCTGATCACACTTCTGGAGTGTGAGCAATAAGCAGGATGTGCTGACAGCAAGTCGCTCTGACCCACGCTGTGAAAAGCTCCACTATCCAGCACTTCACTCTCATTTTTGTGGAAGGTTTCTACTTCCAGCTATAATTGGCATGACCTCAAAGGAAGCAGGTGAAAATACTCACTTCCCACAGGCTGTACCCAGGGAAGAAATAAACCTCTGTTGGTCCCTTTCCAGGGTGCAGAGTTCCAGGCTGCTCTCCACTTCCACCAGCTCCATAGTTAACTCCATCCTATCCTCTTTCCCCTCCCCAGCCTCCAAAAGACACGTTTCTTTAAGAGCAGTGCTCCTTTCCCTCTCTATGTGGTGCTGCCCCATGTGTAAGCATTGAGAAAGGAAGAGGGAAGTTTTATAAAGTCCTAGGGAATGTGGATGTCTCCAGCCCCATAGCAAGACCTCCTCTGATGGTGCTGCTCCACTTGTGCCCCAGGCTGGGCAAGCAGCGTGACCGAGGCTTGGCTCTGCACCAGCCCACAGAGAGCAGAGGGAGGACGCAGACCCCAGGACACCTCCCAGACCACAGGTCTAACAGATCTGTTTATTCCTGAAGAGCACAGTGAGCAGGGTGAGGAAGCAGAGCTGCTGGGCAGGCAGCAGTGGTTATTGCTGCAGGTGCATCCTCCAGTGCAGGGAGGGGTCTGGGGAAGCAAACTGCCTGCCTGCCTCGACAGGGCAGGGGACGGGCCCTCACTCACTGCCAGGCTGGAGCCACCCCATTACCCCAGAAGAAGGTGAGGGGAATGGAGTAGCACAGAGAAGTGCAAATATGTTGGCACTGGAGTTCATCCGCTCTAGGCAAAGGAGCCCAAGATAAGAGGACAGTGTTACAGTATGGGAGGATGAGGGATTGGGAGAAAAAACCCAACTTTGTGCCGCAGACCCCCATAAACCACCACCCCTTGCTCTCTGGAGGAAGGCATTGCCTCTTGGGTGCTGTACCCCTTAGCCCTGCTGTGGGCCATGACCAAGGGCAGCAGATGTCCCAGGAGCTCCCAGGGATGGGAGGGGAGGCCAGGCTGCTGTGACAGTGATGGCGTAGCTGTGCCTGCGTGGGCAAGAGGAGCTTCAGTGCTGCACTACAGGGTTGCATGTGTTCACATGATGGAGGAGCCCCAAAACATTCAGTGCTTGAGTTGTAGAGCTTGACCCAGTGGTGGACTTAGGCAGGGCCATGGAAGTGGAAGGGATGTGTTGAATGCCACGCAGAAAAGAGCCAGCAGGCTCCACACTTTGGTTGTGCTTAGTGGTGATAAGTACGGTGCAAGGCTTCATGCTATCGAGTGTGGCCATTCCTCCTCCCAGAAGGCCACTGTGGCTTCTTCAGGAACCTGCTGCCTGAGCAAGGCAGTATGTGCTGATGCTCCCAGGTGTGGGTGCAGAGATAGGCAATGTGTGCTGGAGGGGATGGGTCAGCACTAGATAAAGCAATACAAGTGTCCTCCCCCTCATGCCCCAGCAGCTGCCTCTCCGTGCTCTGCAGCTGGCCCCAGCTTGCCACCATGCAGGGATTCACAGGTACCCCATGCTGCTCGCCCTCCTCCTATTCTGGGGTGAGAGGGAGCAAGGGGATGTGGAAAGAAGCCCAGCCCAGAAGAGGAGAAGGGAATCCCCTGCCTGCCTTAACCCCTGGTCCACTGGAGAAGATGGTGTGAGACTTGCTGGGAGGCAGGGCTGGTGGCTCAGCGTGGGATGGAGCAAGGGGGAAAGAGTATCCTGTATCCATAGATCCGAGGGGAGGCACTTGGAGTGGGCCTGGCCCATTGGGGTGTCCCAGCTTCAGCAGATCTGTTGTAACTCCTAGCCACACATCGTCAGCAGCAGCCACTGGGAAGGAGAGGGAGAAGGGATGAGCAGCATGCATTTTTGGCATGTCCTCATGAGTAAATTTTAACAGCCCTCCATGAAACACAGGGCCTGTAGCAGTCCTATTTAATCACCTTGATCTTTTATGGGTTCTTTCCCTACCCAGGGGCTGGAGGACTTTCAGCCACCCACCCCAGGTGTCCCATTCACCCTAGTGCCATGTCCCCTTGTTTCCCACCCCAAATTTCACTGGGCTGAACTCTCACCTCAGAAAGGTTCATGACAGCAGTGCCAGTACCTTCAGGGTCCATGCTACGGAAGAACCCTGCAGGGACGCAAGCAAGGTGAGTAACATATCTCTCTGTTCCTGCCCTCCCTGCCGCAGGGCCATCACTCACTGAACATGGTCTCCAGCTTCAGAAGGCAGCAGACAAAGTTGTCAAAGTCCACGCCCATGTCATTGTCCGCATAGCGCGCCACCACCACCTGATGCAGCTTGTTGTTCAGCTTGAAACCTGCAAGGCAGACAGCAGTCAGCCACCCAGGGAGGCAGGAGAGTAGGGTGTAGTTGTGAAAAGTCCATGCACCCACACAAAGTCCACCAACCCACCCAAGGAAGGGCACTGTGTTCAGCCTCAATACGAAGAGGGGATGCTCTCCCTGCAGCCACATATGACTAGTTAGCTCACTGACCCACCCCAGGCCTCTACTTTGCCAAGATGGGATTCTGCAGGTCAGAGGAGGGCAGAGGCTGGGACCATCTTGCGCGCATCTCTGACTCTAAGGCTCCAACACTTGGCACAGCTGTGATACAGAAAGCCTGGTGCATACAGGGGCCACATCTCACTACAACAGGTTGGCTTCAAGCATGCAATGTAGGCTGGTTACACTCTTCTCCTGCTATTCAGGACAAGACTCTGACAGCAGGAGCCCCCTCCCCAGCCTCCAGGCCAGTTGCATCCTTCTCCAGACTTACCGGCTGACTCCAGAGCCATGCGCATCTCATAGGAGCTCATGGTGCCTGACTTATCCAGGTCATACTGGCGAAAGATCGTCTGCAAAAACATCACAGAGGACATGAAGGGAGTGCTCTCCTCTGGCCTCCAGGCTGGCTGTCCCCACTCCCTGCTGCCTCAGGAGGGGTGCTGTCCCTGTGCAGTGCACCCTGTCCTCTCTCCTCCTCACCAGCCAGCTCCGGATCTTGTTCCATAGGATCTGGAATTCTACCAGCCCAAGGCGGGCACTGCCATCTTTCTGGGGAGCAGAGGGTCAAGGAGGTCAAAGCAGCCAGGAAAGGGTGGCGGGGGGTACAAAGGCAAAGCTACCAGATCCCAGCCACAGGAGGTGAGAAAAGCCTGGACACACTTGGCCTGCCCAATTTTTCTCCCAGCCTTCCCCTCTATCCTATGCAGCATCAGCAAAAAGCCTGCAACCCAGCAAAGAAAGGGTAACACTTGAAGTAGCAGCCATGCCACTCCCTGGGAGCAGCTGTGCTGCTGCAGTAGGAAGCACATTGCTGTGCTGTCCTTGGACCAAAGCTGGGCTAGCCTGCAGCAAAAAGGAATGTTGTAGGGCCAGGCTGGAGAAGGACTCAGAGGTGCTCCTTGCCTGACCCCCCAGCTACATGTCCTTGTACAAGCAGGACACTGGCCATGTCTCCTGTCACTTGACTCATCCACAACAGCTAGACAGGATGGTTTGGAGGAAAGAAACCAAATAGTCCTTGTTCCCTTTGAGGAGTGCCTCAAAGGCTGGGTGGCACAACAGCACATCTGGCTAGGGAGCCTGTGGGAAGTGAAACATAGGAACTTCCTCCTGGTGGTGAAAGTAGAAGGCATGGGGTGGGACTGTGCTGGGCTTTTGGTGGCAGAGCCAGGGCCCAAGCAAACAGAGGAAATTATAGCCCTTGCCAAAAAACCTGCTGCTGAAGTTGAAGAGTGTAGGGCAGGTGGCCTTGAAGCCATAAGGACAACTTCCTTTCTTCCCCCAGTTAAACAGCTTCATCACTGCTGGAGAGCCAAGCTCCAGCTCCAAGAGACAAGTCTTGTTTCTTGTAGGCTAAGCACCATGAAAACCAGCCCTGGCCCACAGCACCAAGAGGATACATCCATCAGGTTGACCATGTTGCGGCAGGAGTCCAGGCTGAACCCATCTGTTTTCAGATCTTTGTCTGAGGAGAAAGTAGGAGGTTGAGCACATGCACCAAAACCCAACCTGGGCTGCAGGGAGCAAGGGGTAGGAATGGTAGTGCTTACGTCTAGAGATGACTCTGTTCAGAATGGTCCGAAGCTCAAAGACGCTGATTTCCATGTCCTGGAGCAGAAGCAGAGTTAGCATCACCCCTTGCCTGCTCTCCACCCCACTTGTGGCCATTGTCCCCCTCCTGCCTAAACATCACCGCCTTAGTCACAAAACATGAGGATGCCATTACATTTCTTGCACACTCAGAAGAGTTTTGGTCACAGCTGGATGCTCTTCGCCAAATCTGCCTCTGTCATCACACCATCCCTGCAGGCAGCTGGCCTGAGGCACAGCACAGATGGGCTTGTCTTGCAGGATGGGACTGAGTGAGCGTGTGGTGGGCTCAAACTCCCACGGCCAGGGGTTTGGTTCTGTCCCTTCTCCTCCCTAGAGGGCTTTCCAGAGCCTGGTGCAGCCATACTCACCTCCCCTGCCAGCTGCTGGAACATGTTCTTGAAGCTGTCCTCTATGTCATCCTCAGTTATTTCCTCCTAGGGTGATGCAAACCAAAAGAAGAGGTTAGTGGTCAAACCCAGGCTCTGCCCTGCCTTCCAGGCTCAATAAACGCCAACTGGAAAGGAAGCTCTTCTTTGTTCTTCTCTTCTTCATTCCCACATCCCCATCACCTCAACCTTACCAGCCCCTCTACAGCCACACTGACGTCCCAGACTCAGACAGCCACCCCTTGCCTGCAGCTCCCCTTCCCAAGTGCCAGAACTTCAGCGCTAGCTGATCCGAAGTGGCAGCTCCTACCTCATCTGCCAGATCTGCCGAGATCTCCTCATCCAGCTCCCTGGGGCAGAAAGGGGAAACCAAAGTGATGAGCAGGGTCCCCAGCCAGCAGGCTGCCTGCAGTGGGGAACATCCCACTGCTCACAGACACGGGGTGTCCCTCCCAGGCAGGACTCACGCTGTGTCCGACTGTTTCTCGGTGAAAACGCGCAGGACGAAGTCGGCCTCCTTGTGCGGCTCGAAGGTGGAGGGCACAATGATGTACTCGCCGGGGGGCAGCCGGATCTGGTTGCTCACCTCCCGCAGGTTGATGAAGGTCTCAGACCGTGCCCGGGACTGGTTTCGCAGGAAGAAGTCCTTCTTCAAGTGCACATTCTGCATGCCCTGGGCCTGGGGGAAGGAATGTGCTTGTGGACCACAATGGGAAGCACCCACAGGGAGTGGTGGGAACAGCACCAGCCCATCAGTTAGGACAGCCCTGCCCTGTCCATCCAGCAGGAGCCACCTCTCTCTCCCACATGGAGGTGCCCAGCTGCCACTATCACCCTAACCAGAGCCAGTGCTGTGGGAGCTCCCATGCCACTGGATGCATCAACCCATTTTTGCCCTGTCTTGCGCTTCCCTCCAAGATAGGGTAGGCTCTGACAGCTCAGGACGTACCTCCTCAGGAACCTACAGATAGAAGGGAAAAGGGGAAAAAAATCAGAATCCCAGTACCTGCCCCATCCCTTACAGCTGCAGAGAGCACAGGATGGGGGACATTAGCCCACAGCTGGCCAAAGCTGGTGGAAAAGATTTTCTTGAGGACTGGGGTTGAAGTGGGACTGGCAGGGCTGAGCCTGTCCCAAGGAAGAAGGCTTGGGGTGGGCAGGGGTTACCTCGTAGACAGCAAAGCCAATGGTGTGCATGTCACCTCCCACCCGCCGCTCGCGCCGTCGATGCTTCTGCATCAGAGCCACCAGGAAGCTGCAGGCCACCTCATCATCCCCAGGGTCATCATCTTCTTCCAGCAACTTGATCTTAAACTGGGGGTTGATCCAGAATGTGGCTGGGAGGAAGGGGATGTATGGATGAGACACCTGGTTTCATCAAGTTGCCAAGAGCACAGATGTGGAGGCCACGAATACCTGGGTGATTCCTGCAGCCCCCGGCAGTGCTCCCCCGGCGCCACGTGCCCTCGAACACCTGTGTGTGCCATCTGCTGAGCTCGTCCTTGGTGAGGGCATCGGGGGTCAGGTTGCAGATCTCGAGCCTGGAGAACTCCCTCATGAAGTCACGGAAAGACATCCTGTGGGAGACAAGTAGGGGCTGAGGCCGGGGCACTGCTGTGGGGAGGGAGGAGAGTGCAAGTACCTCTGGACCCAGCTAACATTTCAGGAGAATTAAGTGACAGTAAATTTACTCTTCCTAGATGTTTATTTTGCATTTAGTTGGCCTGAATTTCCTTTAAGGGAGGAAATTTATTAACTAGATCAGATGAGAAAATGCTGGCAAGCTCTCCAGGGCAGGGAAGCCAACTCATAAAGGCAGGTTATGCACTTCAGGTGAAGCATGACTGCAGGATTTCTCCCCAATTCCTCTGCTCCTTCCCAGACTGGCTGCTGAAATAGAGCAGCACCTTGCTCCAGCACTCACCAGAACTCTCCATCCTCCATCTTCAGCTGCAGCTCTTCCCTCTCGTCAGGGTCAATGTTGTTCCACTCAGCAGAACTGGAATAGCAGGAGAGAGACAATTAGATATAAGGACTCCTGAGAGCAATTCAGAGCTGGCCCTCGACTCCTCTCTTTCTGATGCGGAGGGCTCTGCACACTGTGAGCATCCCCTCAGCATTGCCCCATGTTTGACTGCAGTGTGCGCAGCGCTTGCTGGCCTGACAGAGCAAAACTGCCATCCCTTCTGTCCTGCTTACCCATCACTCCAGGCTCCAGTCCACTCCACCTGACCCCAGGGGTTCCTGATGCGGATGAGTTGTTCCTGCTGACCCCGGTAGTTCACCTGCCAGACACCAGACACAGGAGGTGGAGCCCATGCCACTGGCCAGTCTGCTATTGCTATTAAAGTCTAATCTAGGTGACTCACATCTCTGAAGGCTGTGACTGAATAGGCGTGGCCCTTCACCAGCTTCTTGAAAGTCACTGCTTCCATATCAAAGGCACTTGTGATCTGAGGAGACGTGTAATGCTCAAGTCAGTAGGACTGAATTCATGTAGTCTTATCCCTACCCCTTCCCTCCACTGTGTGGAGAATTCTCCTTGCTTTGCACTGCTCCAGCCAAGAGAAGTAGCAGGCATCAACTCCCTGTGCTCAAAGGCTGCTGGTTGTGGACAATTTAAAGACAGTTTCTTTAACAGAGGACACCGAAGATCCATTAAGGAACCTCCCAAACATCAGAATTTAAAAACCCTGCTCTAGGTAATTTGCTGATGCAAAACATGGCCGGAGTTACCCGCAGTCCCCTGCACTTGAGATGAACAATCCCGCTCCATCCAAAGGAGCCACGTGTTATGCCACAGGGCTGCTCTGGAAAGAGTGCTGCAGTAAGAGGGCAAAGAAGTAACCTTCCACCGGTGTCACAGTGAGGGGACTGCTGGTACAGCCTTGGCTGTGAGGCCTCACTTTGGCCAGCGCTGTGGCAGAGCGCTGGCTCATCCCGCCACATCACTTACATCGATGGAGCAGCCCAGCAGGGAGCCCCTCTCCAGCGCCTTGCGGATGATGTGGCCCATGTTGCGTGGCGGCCGCTTCAGGTCGTACATCTCTGCCACGCCGCCCGTGAAATCCTCGAAGCCCTCGGTGGTGCTGCCCCCCGAGAGTGACTCGTAGCAGCCGTTCAGCCTGAGGGGCGCGTGAGGAGACAAGGAGGTAGCGCACTGCAGCTGCCCTGCCACCCAGCACAAGCAGGGCCAGTGACAGAGGAGACTCCCTTCCCTCCACCCCGCACAGGGAGGTGCCCTACCCCATACATGCCCACCCAACCACATGACCACCATGGGGATACCCACTTGGCATAGGCCTTCTCCAGCAGAGCACTCCAGAACTCGGTGCACTCCGCTGAGTGGACAAACAGAAGTTCCCCATCCTTGGTGGGCAGCTGGTCATCCACCACCACATCCACCCACTCACCAAACTGCCAGATCTGGGGGGTAAAGAGGAAGTAGCGTGAGCTCAGAGCATCACATGGCTTCCTCATCCCTACCCCAGAGGGATGGTCTCGACCCACCACCCTTGCTTCTACCACAGCCCACCAGCTGGGGAGGGCCAAAAGCTCCCAGCCCACCTGGAAGTGAAAGATGCCAGCATAGTCCTCCTGGAAGCTCTGTCCATGGGGCACCACGCGGTGCAGGAGCTCCTCGTTGAGCGTGAGGGAGCCAATGGCAGCCAGCAGCCAGCAGTCGCCTGGGGAAGGAGAGGAAGCTGGTATGAGTACCCATCACCTCCCTAGCTGAGAGGGTAGGTGACAGATGTTTAGGAGCCCATGGTGTGCTCTCCGTGCAAATGTTTGGGGCTACCCAGCTCAAAAAGTCCATGGAAAAACCAGAGAAGGTCCATCAAGCAGAACTCAGTGATCCAGTGATCCAGGCTTGCTCAACCACTAAGAGAAGTAATAGCTGAAGGCAATTGGGAATGTTCCTCCCTCACCTGGAGCCTGTGTCCAGACCACCACACACAGCCAGCACCAACAGCCCCCTCCTGCAGCCATTTATTTGGACCCTCCTGGAACTCATTCATATGACTGCCCTCCGTATGTCAGACAGCAAGTTCTGCAGTGGAATTACACTTTACATGTAAAAGGCCATTTCAGTAAGCAAGCGGTTTCATGCCGCTGCCCCAACTTCTCAAATTGCAAGCAATGCCACCGCACTTTTCCTTCCGAGAGATCTTAACCACAAGTGCTGCTCCAGGCCAGAACTGTGCTTTTAAATTCTTTAACTTGATTCTTTTTTCTCTTTTGCCTTTGAAGCCTTTCACACCTTAGCCTTGAGCCGGGATAACCTGTAATTGGGCTGTGGTTTGGCTGTGACAAAATGCCATTTCTGAGTTTTTAATGATGAAGTGAACACTACCACAGTGCTTTGGGCTGTTACGCACTCCAGTTGCCACCTCAAGTTTGTCCTAATTACTGGATATATCAAATGTAATCAACCCTGAAAACAGCATGTTAAATGTGCTAAGGAATACAGTACTCCCAATCAAGTGCCCTACTTGCTCCCAGTCAGGACAACACTGTCTGTGGTTCCAAGATCCATTTCTGATGACCAAAAATCCCAGTTGTGGTTCAACTCTGCTAGCCTACCCAGCCCATTCACACTTCTCTCCTTGCCTCAGTGCTCTCGCCTTGGGAGACACCCCTGGAGATAAGACAAATCATCACTTGTACACCTCTCAATACCCTTCTGCCACACCACATTCATTAGCAAGCATTTTGTCACCACCACCTCAGTTTGTTCTTGTCATGCAGCTGCCATCCCTCAGCATTTACCAAAGCAGGGAGCTCTTTGGAGCAGCTCCTGGCATTGTTGTCAGCATGTGTGAGGCATGGATGTACCCAGAATCTCCACTGATCTCAGCACGGTCAAACTGTGCACACATCAACTCATTTTTGTGGAGCTTTATCCTAGAGCTACTAGGACATACAGGATGCCCCCTGACTTGCAGTTTCCACCTCACTGAATGGAAAGGGCCACCCAACCCTCCCCAGTCACTATGCCTGGACCAAGGTCCAGGGACAAAGCTTCAGCACTCACCCAGAGCCCCCTGGCAGATGTCCGTCCGGGTGGCACCACCAACGATGAACTGAGGGTCATCCACTAATTCCTGCAGAAGGACAGAATCAGATGCTGGTGCTTGACCTTGGCAGGGCCTGGGCTTCAGCAGGGCCAGCACCCACTGCAACTCTGACTCGAGAGAAATAGTATATGCTCCCTGTGAGATCCCTGCCCTCTGCTAGGAAAGGCTGCTCGATTGCAACCCCAAGGCCATCACCATAAGGCGAGGCAAGATCTGCTGTATCCATGGGAGGACAAGGCTGGATGACATTTCCCTTGCCCTGATGGCGTTAGGGGATATGCACTCTCAAAGGCCCCAGCTACTAAGGGTGGCACGTCCATGCCATGATACCTTGAAGCAAGAACACAACCCATCCGTTTTGAAGCCCACAGTTTGCTGCCCAGAGGAAGCAGTGCCTGCTAAACACAATGCTTTTCTGAGCAGACACTCATTGGGAACGACCCTGGGCCCTTGGGAAAGTGGCTCTGCAGCAATCCAGGGACTCGGAGCACTGAGGGGTGCCAGCAAGGGCCAGTCTGCAGCTCAGCACACCACATCAGTGCAGACGTGCAGGGCAGGGACACCAGCCCAGCCTGAGAAGAAGCAGGCCCAGCACTTACCGACGGACGCTTCCACTCTACTCCCCGTGTCTTGCTGGAGTGTGGCCCCAGCTCCTTGAATCCAAGGGCAGACGGGCCAGCTGGGAATTGGGGATCCCTGAAGAGGGTGCCACTCTCAATGCACTGCTGCTTGAGGGCCTCATAGTCCTGGTTGAGGTACTTGATGGCGTTGTTGTGCTCACCAAGCCCCTCGGCTCTCAAGCGGTCTCTCTCCACACGAGCAGCCATCCCGCCAAAGGGCATCATAGCTTGGCACCAGCACCCCTACCTTCTGCTCCACTCCCTGCAACAGAACAGGCACAGCCACGCTGGGGCAGGGTCTGCTACCCTGCTCTCCCCTGGGGATATCAGCCATCACACAGAGCCAGGCTTGGAGGCTGAATCCCTAATTCCCCACTGCTCCCACAGCAGGGACCTTCTCCAGCAGCATTGGTCTGGCACCAGAGACCCCCAGGGTGGGCACACGCACCAGGAGAACCTCCCACACCCCATCCCCAGCAGCAGCCCTGTTCTGAGCCCTGTCTTCTCCGGCCTGGCCGTCGCAGCCCTGCTGTCTTTAGGGAACACCAAGGGGACAAAGCAGCATTGAGGGCGGGCTGGGAGGAGGCAGCCCCCCTCTCAGCACCTAGGCCATGGGTCCTGTCCTGTCCCCGCTACGCCAAAAGGCTAAGCCCGGAGCAATTTCAGACGCTTTCTAACCTCGTCAGCCTCTCCTCCCGGCGCAGCTCTCCGGGTTCTTCCCTCGTCCCGGCCCGGGAGGGCGTCAGGGGCCGCCCGCAGCTTCTCCCACCCCCAGGGGCCTCTCCCACTCCTTTTCCTCTTCCCCGAAAGCCGGCCCGGCTGCCTGAGCACTGAGTCAATAGGGGCGGGTAGGGAGGAGCCCAGCGGGGCGCAGAGAGCTCTGGCTATGGGGCCTGAGAAGGACAGGGAAGGAAGAGGCGGGACGGCACACACAGACACACAGACACACACAGAGACACACACAGAGACACACACACACACACAGACACACACACGCACAGACACACACACACACAGACACACACAGAGACACACACACACACACTCAGAGACACACACACACACAGACACACACACACACACTCACTCACACAGAGACACACACACTCACACACAGGGAGGGTGACTCAAGGGTCGTCACCCGCTAGTGGAGCAGCCTGCTGGGAGACACCAGGGAGGGACTGCGGAGCTCAGCGAGGCACACTGGCACCAGGAGAGCGGGGCAGGACAGACACCGCAGAGCCCGCATCCTGCACCTCTTCCTGCTCTGGTCATCCTCCCGGGGCTTTGCCCAGCAGCTCACGGCCAGGAGCTTCAAACCAGCTTGCCACAGCTGCCAGGCATGCCTGGTCCCACAGCCCTGCCCCACCACGCCCGCGGCTGCAGGCAAGTCCCAGCTCCCTTCCCAGCATCCTGCTGCCCTCAGCCCTGTCCAGGCACCATGGCAGCAGCCAGCACTCACACCCACTGCACCGCCCAGGCTGGAAGAGGCCTCTGGCACCGTCTAGTCCAAGCCTCCATGCAAGCAGTGTGACCTGCAGCAGGGCCATGGGGCAGGTGCCACTGCCCCCAGCCCACTGCCATCTGTGGGTCATCCTGCCCCACTTCCCAGCAATCTCAGCTTGGCTGGGCTGTTGCTGAATACGTCAGAAGTTTGTCCGTGTGAGAAAGTGGTGTAGTCCTTGGGTAAATAAGCCAGGAGCCAACAACCCACTCAGAGCAGCAAACTTGAATGCCAGTGCTGGCCTACTCCCTTCTCAGTACGCTATTCCAGGGGAGCAGGGCACAGCCTGGCTCCAAAGAGGCGTCTTTCCTTGTCCTGAAGTGCTGTGATAGCTAAAGGGAAGGCAGGCAACAGTGAATAGGGTGCAAGCTCCTGGCACATGCATAGGGCATAAACTTGGCTGCTAACCCATGTGGCTGTCCTAGCCAGAAGATTTTCAGAAGAAAAAATTTACTCTTCCCTATCACTCGGCCTACTCTGGATGCTCTAAACCCACTACCCTTCTCCAGGGAAGCGCCAGCCCTTCTCTCCTCTATGATGGTCCCACATCTATGGAGCTCCTCCTACAACTCCTGCCCCACAGCAACCTGGCAGTCTCTCCCAGTGGCAAGGCACTTGGTGCCTGCAGAGCTCCACTCCCAGAAACTTCCCGGAACAGAGGGGCTCTGAGGGAAGAGGGATCCCAAGTACAGCTGCCCACACTGGCTCCAGTTCCCACCTCACCATCTTCCCAGCGCTTACGCCACGACCTGCCAGTGGCCAAGGAACTTCACCTACCCACAGCCCCTGACAGGTTCCCTGCGCTCTTTCCCACGGACCTACCAGCACGGGACATGGCTGCGGACACGGGGAGCTCTGTGCAGACACGGGCACCGTAGGAGTTATTCTTAGCTCTCTGGCTCAAAATACTCGGGAGGGCTGTGCTCAGTGGCAGAGGGCGGTCACGCAAGCGCAGAGCAAAGGAAAGCATTTCAGACCCCAGAATGGGAGAGGAACCACATGGGTCTTTAAAGCAATGGGGTCAGCTACTGGCACCTCCCCAGGCTTATGCTGATGGACACTGCAGGTCCTCCACGGAGGAGGAAGGGGTGTGATGAGACAAGCCAAGCCCCCAGGGCAGTTCTCCACCACAGGTGACACCCAACTACAATATGATACTTTCCAGTACTCGAGGCACCTCTGATCCCTCCCAGGTGGGAGCGAAAAGACACACTGGTTCCTGCAGGGTCCCTGACACCTTGTGCACTTTAGCGCATACCGCAAAACCCTTGGGCAGCATCATTGTTGAAGTCCAGCCAAAAATCTTTGCAGACCTCTGGTTTGCCAGCTGCTCTTGCAAATCAACGGAAATGGGGAGTTCCCTTCCTCAAAACCAGCCCTGACGCACGGTATCCTGCCGCATACTCAGCTCGGGGCGAGGCGTCACAGCCCTCCGTGGCATCCCACAGTGCTCAAGCAGCTCTCAGGCCCTTTCCAGCCCTCCAGACGACAAAGATCCTCGTTTCCCACAGGCTCCCCTTTATCTTACCGCATCCCTTTGACGGGATACGGGCTTGGCTTTGGGGTCGGCAGCGCATCCCAGGAGGCTGCGATACTCAGTTTACTTCGCCTCGATTGGGAAGCTTCTGGGTCTCTGCGGATGCGTTACCTAGTGCAAAAATCCCCGCAGACAGAAAGGGGATGGGAGGGGTAGGCATGCCTAGATAAGCTTAGAAAACAGAAGAAGCAGCCGGGGAGGGAGAGACGGATGGACCCGAAGCCCTGCCCGCCCGGCGGCGGACTCCCCCCCGGTGCTTAGCCCCAAACTGGGGGTCGAACAGGGTAAGGGCGGGGGGATGGACTTACGGAAGCTGCTGCCGCCACCGCCCTGCCCGCTTCGGCTCGGCCCGGCCCAGCACAGCCCGGCTCAGTACAGCCCCGCAGAAGGTGGAGTTTCGGCGGGCAGGATGTATGAGCAAAGCTGGGAGGGCAGGGGGAGGGGGAATTAAAGGAGCAGTGACAGCTTACAGACACTGGGAGGGGGTTCTTGATCCAGGCGGATGGTGAGGTTCTGTCTGCTGTCACCCTTTGCCAGATCCCAGGGATAGAAGAGTACTGCCGGGATGGGCGTGCTGCTTCCACCATTGTTCTGAGGAAAGGGTTGGGTCCACACGGAAACCGAGGCTGGAGGGGAAAGAGGAAGCATTCCCCTAGGAATGGATTTGAGGGCGGCTGCTCCACATTGCCGGCACCCCAGCGTAGCTGGGTGAAGCTCTGTACTGCACTTTGTCCCCAGGATTTATTGACCTTCTGGTGCCACGGCTGAGTACGGTGGTTCCACCGGATATCCCAGACTGTTATGTCCCTTCTCCCTTCCATTATGCCTGCGGGGACTGTGCCCGCACCACCTCAATCAGTGGTTCAGGTGGTCACGGTCAACAACGCCACCAGCAGCTGCCTCGGCCTCCCTGCGTGTCCCGGCTGGCACTCCCCTCCGCCCCCCGCCACTACCTCGCTGCTGAGTGCCAGCAGCGCTCTCTCCGGGCAGGTCCACTGCCCTGGCGTTGTCTACAGCCACACCGGGGCTGCCCCTGTGTGCCCTCCGTGACTCACGGTGCAGCTATGCTGGGTGGTGCTGGTACCAGGGGCATGGCCACACAGGGCTTGGCACCATACAGTGGAGCCCTGTCTAGCGCAACATGGTTTTGGCTGGCATTGCATGGCTCAGCATGGATTGGCACGGCTTGGCTGGTGTGGCTCAGCCCAGCATATCTGACACAGTCTGGCCTGGCATGAGCAGCTCAGCTCAGCCCTGCCCCAGGAAAGAGGCTCTGTATTGGCATTCTTTTGGTGCCAGGGCTGAACAGGATGAACCTAATGGGTGTTACCAGCCCTGGAACTCCCTCTCCTTCCATGGTGCCTGTTTGCAGCTGGGGAGGCTGTGCCCATACAGACTCACTGCAGCAGCTGGCATTGAACCTGCGTGAGCCCAGGCCTCACAGGGCACCTGCTTTCTACCTCACCCCACCTTGCCTCAGGGGGCAAGTCCTTCCTAAGCAGGGAGCAGGTTGCACGTGGGGCCAGGAGCCATGTCCTTTGCCTGAGGGAAGGGCAACCCAAACATTTAAAACCAGCTGTAGCATGGTCCTGCTGCTGCAGGCACAAAGGACCAGTCTGGTCCTGTCCCTATACAGGGGACTCTGTTCCAGGCAGCTTGTTCTGCTTGTTCCCACCCTAGTGCAGAGGCAGCCTTGGGGTGCCCTGCTCTGGGTTGTTGCAAGGGCTGCTTCATCTTTTTCCCAACCAGACTTGCCACAGGCTGGAAGCATAAAGGGGTCTCTGCATAAGGGGGACATTATTCAGCTCTGCACGGAACTGCAGGCAGCACTGTGCTTTCAAACAGCAAGAAGCCTGTAGGGCCAGGCCTTGTTCCTGCATTGGATTTGTGCCCGTCCTTTTGACGCTGTTGTCCTGTTCAGCTGCCTTATTATCCTTCAGTGGCCTCCAAAGCTGCTTTCACAGATCCCTCTCCTAGGGCAGCAGACAGCTCCTCAATAATCCTGTTACAAAGGCTGTCCCATGTCCTTCCCCCTATGCTTAGAAATGGTTTCCCTAAAACACCAAAAACTGCAAAATCTCTCTGCAATTTCCTTGTTTCCTTCTCTCAAGCTTTCCTTTGCAGTGATAGCTGCAGAACTTGGCAGGAGGCACGGTTCTTCTTTGCCTTCAGTTTTTTGTTCTCTGGCATTGCCTCTTCCCTTGCTCTTTGGCTGTGGACAGGAGGTTCTTTTGTCCCCTTCCGGTGCTGCACTGCTGGCACATGAAGCCTGATCACAGTGAGGTAGGGATGGAGCTGGGGTCACTTGCCCGTCTCTTGGCAGCCCCACACCAAGCCTCGCCTCTCCATTGTGCCATCCTCCAAGCAACGGCCACTGTGCACAACATAAGGGGCATAGCACACAGCAGACTCCTGGGAAGCACGCCAGATCCAGCCTGCAGAGAGCAGCAGGGGGCTGGCTGCTTGCTGTCTGTCCCAGCACTCAGGGGATGGCTGACATATGAGCAGCATCGTGTTTTGGGAAAGTGCTGCTCTGTGCTCCAGGGGTCTAGCACTCCTCATGCTTTCCCAAAGGCTGTAGCTGCCCACCCAAACCAGGTGTCTGGGTTTTGAACAGATATTGCAGGAGTGGCTATGGAACCTACTACTGGAACAGTACGGGTGGGCTGACATGTGACATGAGGCTACCAGTGGAACTCCCCCACCGTACCATTCCCAAACCATCTTCTTCCATTGCAGCCTCAGTGCACACAGCTTCCCATCTACCTGCTTTTAGCAGCAAAGTCCCTGATGCCTCTGCAAGTCAGAGGGAAAGCCATTCATGCTGCAAGAGCCTGTGAGCCATGGGTGAGTTGCTGGCAGCAGGGCTCATGCTACTCCCCACCCTACCTTTTGTACCATGCATGCTCCTGCAGTCCTGCAGCAGCTGGGGTCCTCTCTTCCCAGGTCCCAGCCCACTCCACAAAGAAAAGACTACACAAACAATAGCTCATTTTTTCCCTTTTTTCTTTTGTACACAAATATATACAGGGTATTATACACATCTCTACACAGACAGCGCCACTCATAACACACAGCTCTCTGTGGGTAGGGCCCCAACAGCTACAGAGGCAGCCCCAGAGCATGGCCATACCGACAGAGACCATAGCATCGCAGCCCACCTGCTGGACCAGGAGCAAGGGCAGTAGGTGGGTGCGAGAAGAGGGAAGAGGGTCAACATCCCCCCCCCGCCCCAGCCTGTGAGTGGACCAGGAACTCTCAGCTCATATGCTTATTTCATTCCTGGCCGCTACCTGGAAGGGATGGGCGACTCTCACCTTACCCCTTCACACCCACGTGTGCTCCATTCCCAGCTGAGCCCTGGAAGCTGGCGTGACCTGCCCTCCCCATGCACTGAAGACTCACACCTCTTCTGTTCCATCCACCCTTTTCTCCAGGCCTGGGATTCCTATAGAGGTTTTGTACATGAAAGGTAGCTATGTCCTGCGTGGAGCAGCGCCCCATCTGCTCTCTGTGGGTCTGGTTCCCTTCCTCTAGTGGAAGGCACAGGGGAGAAAAGCTGTAAAATGTGACCACCGTTCCCCTGGCAGATGAGGTGGGCAGGGCTGACAATTCACTTGTTCTGGTCGATTAAAGTGCTTGGAGCTCCTGGGCCAGCATGGGTGATTGAAAAGGTAAATGACCATCCCCTTTCACCTGGCCCCTCAGGGTACAGCTCCAGGGAGCTGGTACAGCACCCACTGATGACTGGCAAAGGGAGGGTGATAGTGTCCGCAATGAGCACCAAACAGGACTGTGGCAGGGTCCAAGGGAAATAAATATAGCTAAATAGCAGAGGGATTTGTTATCTTCCTTTACAGTTTACACAAGGGGAGGGGGGAAGCAATTGAGGGCAACTGATACTGACCAGAAATAACCTCACAAAGTGTCTTTAAACAGCATCAGTCCTTCCATGTGCCAGGGGCTCCAGTCACTTCTCCCACCCATCCTGTTCCCTGCCTGCCTCTGGGACACAGCTATCAACAGGGAAGGGGCAAGGGCAAGAGGTAGGAGAGGAACACCCCTCTCAGCGGGGGTTGTGGGTGGTGGCAGGGGAGCCTACACCAGACAGGGCAGGTGAAGAAAACAAGGTCCCGTGAGGCTTTCATGGTCCTGAAGATGGTGGTCTTGGTTGGAGACAGCTCCTAGGGGCTGCTCTCCCAGGGCTCCCTCCATCTCTCACCACCTCAGGTGGGGGAAGACCCTGCAGCAGCTCAGGGAAGGGGCCTCATTGCAACGAGGCAGTGCTGATCTTGCAGGGTGTTGGCCTGTAGCCTGAGACCCTTTCTCCCCTCTCCCTAGCACCCAGGAGACCCCCACACAGCCTCCCCAGCCCCAAGCCTGACCCTGCTGTGCAGACACAGGGCAGCAAAAGGGCGGCTGCAGTGCCATATGGGGGTCAGGTTGATTTGTTTGAAAGGGGAGTAAAATGTGCAAAGAAAAATGCCACTTTAAATGATGCTGCAAACCCCTGCCTGTGCCCCTGGGGGAGGAGGGAACAGGACCTGGGGGAGAGGCTGCCTGCGCCTCCTCCTGCTCATAAGAAATGCCCTCAGCACCCCTCACCCTGTGAGGGCTTATCTAGCTCATGTCAACCCCTTCCCTGGTGTGATGCCACGCTTGACCACGAAGTCAGGATCACTGTCACCATCCCTGTGCTGAGGGGGAAGTCCGGCACCACCCCTGGGCCTGGACCAGCTCCTGGGATGCCACACCAACTGGATGCTGGAAGCAGTTGAGAAAGGGCACACACAGGCAGGCACAGGGAGAAGGTGCAACAAAAGCCAACCCCACCATGGGTGGGGTTTCCAATAAACTGACTGAAGTTTTTAATTTATCACCTTCCTGTAAATCTAATAAATTATTAGTTTTTCTTACCAGAAAGACAGGGTGATACAGCTTCCTGCTCAGAAGACCCCAAATGTTCTCCTTATGCCCCTTCCCACAAAGCACCCAGCTTTCCTTTCCTCCTCCCTGCAGGTCCAGGGCAGCACCACGGGGGTTATGGTCCCCCTCCTCCCCAGCCTCTGGGAGTCTGGGGTCCAGGGATGCGTTGAAGAAGGTAGCTAGTATAGAGCATGCCTGCCGAGCAGCTGGGCTGGCGCAGGGGTGGAGGGGCAGGGAGATGGAGAGCTTGCAGCAGGGCCCCTACCCTC